CACAAATTCGATTAGTTCGTCTAATAAGAACTAGGGCATTCGCAGATCTTCAATTCGCATATCTAGATAGAACATTACGACCTTCGGGATGTTTTGCAGGTTCCGCAGGCATCGTTAATGTTGATTTAGTAGCGGATGCATTGTCCTAACATACGTGGGAAACAACTTCTACATTTCTTTTTATATTCCCGTCTTCTCGTAATTCTCCTGCTATAGTTATGTTGTTAGCCGTATCATCGTTGTGGCCTTTATATATATTCACCTTGCATAAGCATTCTGTCTTTCATCTTACCTTTGGCAGCCTCTTTTTCAAAGGTCAAGTGTTGGAAAAGTTAAGCATGATTTCTCTGTGTTGATTTGAAGCCCTTTCTTTTTCTTTAGTTATTATTCCTATTATGAATTTCATCACAATATATATGATATATATATTTTCTGTTTATATTTTGAATTTTACACACGCGCGTACACATATTCTTTTATTTTGTATATACGCCATATTGTATAATATAAGAATAGAGTAAATTTGCATTAGTCAATGCATTAGCAAAGAACTGAAAATTTTATGTCTCGTATTATTCCCGTTATCATTGTTGCTTACGTTGAATTATGCATCATTGCTCTCGCAAGCGTGGCTCATCTCGAGGATATGAATGTCGTATGAATTACTCGGTGAGCCGATATACTGTTAGTCAACCGCACCAGGTATTATAGGGTGCGAAATGAAACATTGCTGGATTAACCCCGTGCCATTGTCTCTATCATTTATAATACGCGGTGTGTCAATCCTACAATAGGAAGCTACACAATAGTTCTATATTGTAGCTTCCGTGCCGCGGCGATCTATGAATCACAGAATAACAAAAAGAGTACGCTCAGCGCGGTGTGCGCTCGTGAAAACGTGTTTGTCGTGCTGTGTACGGAAAAAGAAGCAAAATAATGGCATTACGCACGTCCGTGCGTCACGCGATAAATGCTGCGCGAATTGTGCAAATCGGTCCCGAACTCCATACGTTATCAATAAAGAAAGGTGCAGCCATGTATATACTTCGCGCGCTGAAGGTTACATGTGTATCAGCGGTGGAGTTATACATACATATGTCTCTCGCAATCAACGCACGGATAATTATTCAGTACGAAAGAAGACGCGCGACGAGATTAAGACGCACCTGCCCGAACTGTCAAATCGCGCAACGGCGTGTAAAACGACACGCTTCGATTTCGCCTCTAAATTTTTCTGCACACACTCGCACACCCGCTTCGACAGCAATCCTGACGACGTTATATTGTATCAGAGAATGCCATCACGAAGGCAAAATGCATTATGTTCCCGCGACTTCCTACGCACATATCTTTTTACGAAAGAATTTTAATTATCTTTCTTTCTTGTGGATAACACATTTAATTAGAATAACACATTTCGTGCTAGATTCCGTGAACTTGATATTAGGTGCGTTTACATGATTATATTACAATGCTAAATATAGCGGAAAATAAGAATAAATGATAATTAGGTAAATCGGAAATTTCATACCGCGAATTTTGTTAATAGGCTTAACTACTAATAGACATGACTACACTGAGCGAGAAATTAAATTACGTCCCTCTTACATGCATCTAGGTCATACGAATTGAGGTCTATTGGCTATATAATTCTCAAGGCAGAAGTATCTTTAATATTACACCGGTATTATTTGAAACCTTGATCCATTGATTGACAAGCTTGCACGATCGATTCTCTAGCTATCAATTTTTCGGATTATTACTTCACCTTGTACTTTATTGTTCACACTGTGAAATTGAATCTCGCTGCATCTTGTTTTTATAGACACATCTGTTTAGATCACAAGAGTCTGACTAGCTTCAACAAAGAATTGTAACTTATTCGTGTAAAACTTGTACTGTTTTCTTTTTTCTCTTCGTCGATTGTAAAGTGAGAAAGAGAGCAAGTATATTTATTCAATAACTAGGATTTATCTCGTGAATAAAACATTATACTCGATAGAAGAACGCGGATAGAAGAGTTAAGATAGGAAATCAGGTGAGAACATACTACGGCATATATGAGGACTATGAGGAGAATCTTGACTTATATCTGGCATTTTTTTTGCTGATACCCACGCGAAGTTTATTCGAAAATTCTGACTCACTATCCCCGAGAAACTTGCTCCGAGAAACCAATAATTCAAACCGGTATGATTTCAAAAATTAAATCTCAAGAAAGTTTTACGAGCGAAAGAGAACTTTAAATCGTCGCGACTTTTATCGCGAATAGAAACTTGAATTCAGCGAAGTTACATCGAGGTTTCAACTTCTGCTTCTCGTGTTCTTATCCCCGATGATCTCACATCAAAATAGAGAAGGTTTTTTTCTCGCTCGGAACACATTTGGCAAACGAATGAAAGCGTGGCAGGCACAGTCCTATCCTGTCGCGTCTGTCATGGTGCGCCGTTCATAGAACGTGTCTGCGACTGGTACGCGGTCGCACGCGGCTTACACACGCTCGAAACGGTAAACGCACACACGCACCCACACCATCGAGATGCTGTCAATTCAGAACTCGCGTGTACGTTACGCTAACTAGCACACGCGAGCCGTGAGAGCTAGAGAGCGCGCAAGGCCAGGACTGTATACCCAGGGAATATCGCGGACCCTGGCGTTTCTCGCAGGAAACGCGATGTTTCCTCTCTGAATGTTAATAATCGCACCCTCTAATCCCTTTCGTGTTAATTAGCCGCAGGATTACCTTCGCTAACGCTTTCACTAACGCGAAACAGGGTTCGGGCTTCCATGTGCTCGTTGCTTATTAAATTATAAATATACGAACACATGATGTCGATCTGCACGTATTTCCTCTACGCTTTTGCAATTTCTATTGCTGACTTGTACCTATGTAATAAAGAAACTGATAAAATCGAGCTATAATTAGAGACAGAATGCAGCTTAAAATTTTGTATTTGAATATTAATATGTATTGCTTCTTCAATTTTAAAAACAATTTGGAATCTTCTCAGTAATAAAAATAAAAAACACTACGTCCTTGGTTTACGCTTATCGCGTGGTTCTGCCCCGCGATGATCTTGGAGAGAAAGAGAGAAAGAAGCATAGCGTGTGCCCGGCTGTACCACTCGCCGCCTTCTCGCGCGATCACGATTTAACCGTGACGCAATCCCCCGCGCCTCCCTTATATAGCCCCCAAGGAAATCATCTTCGTGGATCCCGCGGTACCGCCTGTTACATTGTTAACGGCCTGCCTCGTGAGAATACGTAGAAAACAATCCTCGCGATATCCTCGAATATCGGACGAGTCATTAGCGTCGTCCCGCGTCTCCGATCGCAGAAATTATGGTCTGTCTATCAGTACCTATCACAGTCGTGTAAGAAAACGAAGAAACAAGCGAGGTACGACGTACATACGTTGAAATCGCGTACAATATTTTAATTGGCGATTGTAAAGATTTGTAGTAAAATAACATTGTAACGAATTCATTATCCGTGTGTCGCCGTTTCGTGATTGAATAATTTCAAAATTCACCAGGCTCAGAAAATAATAGACCTCTTGCAGCGATGGAAGCAACTGGATGAGTGTATGCAAATTGAGTTGTAAAGTGCTCTTCCGCATACTTTACACGCCAATTAGCGCTATTCCGCGGAATTAAGAGAGTCGGAAGTTTACCCATATTCTGAATTACCGGGGGAAAAAAAAAACGGTTTACCTTTTAAAACTGAGCGTATTATTAACACAGTCGGGAGTTTTAATTAGCATTATATCCATCGGAGATTCAACGATAGAATTAATAACATACTTACGTTTAATTAGAACGATATCATCGTCGCGTTTTCAGTGTCACCTGAGACAACCTGAGACAAGTTATATTAACGATCTGCGACGAGAACGGAAACTCGCCGAGTTTCCTAATTGTTCCTGATTTACAGTAGGGTGTGTGAGTGGATATATCCTTTTAAGTATCACGTGCACGATATGGCAGGATGACGTAAGGATATGCGTGCAACATGATAGCGCGCTTTCGTTCCTTTTCATTATCTCAAGTTGTATTGTATCTGCAAGCATTAGAGTAGTTGGAAGTTATTAGAGTAGTTAGACGAAACAGTGTCAGGAGAGATAATTCGGTAAAAATAGGATTCCATACCAGTCTCGTGCCTGAATGCGTAACGCGTAGTATTTCGTATTTATTTAACCTGATTTGATAAATATAATTAAAACAATTAACACTACACGGCGATCTTTTATTAAACAGCGAGACACTGAATTCAGCCGTTGCCAGTTAAATTTTTGCACGTATAAAGTTTACGGCGATTGCGTAATGATCGTGGCGAGTAATGGGCTTAATTGACGTGGCCGGAGTGTTAATAAGCTTAAATTTCCTGCGGTATGTTTACATAATAAGTATAGAGACATATGCGTGCGTGTAACACGCATGTCCGTGCTAATGCCCATCCCTTCACATGCGAGGAATGCATGGAATTCGCGAGTTATTTATAAAACAAAGATTTTCGCATAGTTTCTGGCACAAGCCAGATCTCCGCCAATTTTTTTACAAATCGCACAATTGTATATCACACACATATTGTCAGCAAGAAAATTTAATAAACACCATTTTGCGAGCAGTAATAATAAAAATTGTATATTAAGTAAGAATCTCGGTAAGAATATAATTAATCATTCAAAGTATATTACATACATTCAACTTTTTGAAGATAAAAAAATATTATTTTATCCATATATTTTTTTTTAAATCTTTTTTCTATTAATTTGGACATTTATTTCCTTTACAATTATTTGTCTTAATGGAATTTATTGATTGCTTAACGTTAGATTACAAAATTGATTATTTTCCGCAAGATGAATTTATAGTATTAATATTCGTAAATATTGAAGCGTTCCTAAAAGGAATATAAGAGATAGAGCGCATTATCTCTCTCCATGATATAATAAAAGGAAAATTTTACTCCTGAAGTAATCGAGGTATCAAATGTTGTAGCAAGCTTGAAGACTACATCCGGTCACAGTGAGGCGCCATGAAGGAAGTCCAGGAGCAGCAGCAGCCCGAGTCAATGGAATCCAACGAGTCGGTTTCCGGTTCGAATGAATACGCCTATCGACCGCTCACGACGAAGCACAGAAGAGCTGGGAGTACCGGAACCACTGGCGATGAGGAATACACCACGGACGAGGATGAGCTGTACACGGATGAGACTGATTGCGCCACGCTACATCCACCACATCCTATTCTTAAATCGGACCTCGCGAGGGCAGCTACGGATCTCTTTGGATATGCTACGAAACGCGAGGACGAGGATGAAGAGCCCACTAGTCTATTCGACGAGGACGACACCAAGTTCCTAGATAATAGGTGTGTATTGATTTGTTTTCCTACTTTCCTATCGAAATCGCTCCTTACGAAGTAGATATTTAATTAACTTTTTGGACGGGCGCTCGCTAAAATGTATAGAACTTATTGCGACGAAATTTTTATTTCAATTAATAAATATTACATTAATTTAGTAATATATAATATTAAAAATTAATATTAATATATTTTGTATTAATAATTTATATCAATTTAAACAAAGAACTGAAATTCATATGTGTGTTGCACAAAGAAGATTGACGTATTTTATTCTATTATAACAAATTTTAATTGCTTATACATGAGAAGCATTTTGTTACAATAACAAATTAATTCTTGTTTTATCCCATCAAAGCAGAGATTATTTCGCTACAAAATGTATTTCCTAAACTAAACTGATTTGTTGTAGCAGAAAATCCGTGTTTCTAATTGAGAGATTGACTTACAATCAACAAAAAATATAATTCTATAAAAAAAAAAGATTTAACTATAATATCCAATAATTGGTAACGAAGTTTAGTCACCCTTTCATCGAATATTGCAACAGCAATGGTTTTGCTGCGACTGTAAAATTCTCTTTTTTGGGTAAAAAACTACACGAGTGTCATATTCAAGATTTTCAATCGATGTTCGAGACTGCCAGTTATTAACTGTATTATTATTGTATATATTTATATATAATATAATAATTATAATGAGATTTGCATATTTTAGTTCCAGCTCAACCAAAACCGCTCCACTGTTCACGTACAACGAAAAATTGCAAGGTGTCCTATCGCGACATCGAAATCCATCGGAAGAGAAGAAGCCCGTGAAGCCCTGCGAAAAGCTGAAATCTCACGAGCTGGAAGTCTCGGAATCTCAAGCTCAACGTGCGAAACCTTTGGATTTTAGGTTGAATGAAGCTGAGTCTGCGGGAAAAGCCAGCGATGAGAAACCCGATACGGTCGACTCGAAGAAGGACAATTCTCTCGAATCATCGAAGAGACCCTCCCTTCCTAAAGATACGCCGGTAATTTCAGTCTTCGGTTTATCAGATTTTGATAAGACATCTCATAGAAATAAGAAATTAATATAAAAATAATAACTATAAATGTATACATATGCGTTGAATATAGATTGTATTAGAAATATAAATTTTACTAATACTTACGTGATGTTTTTGAAAATTATTTCAGCCGAAAGAACCATCAAAGCAAGAATTACTGGGTGCTTCTAAAAAAACCAACAGCCCGCCATCGCCTACTACCCTGCAATGGGGAAGAGCAGTGGCTGAGGTGAAGGAACACGCAGTGGCGAAGTTACAGGAGGAACTTAAAAGGGCTCATGAAGAATTAAAATTAAAGGACGAGGAAGTGGCAAGACTTTCGCGGATCAGGCAGGATGTAGAGACTGAGCTCGAGGACCTCACTGCCAGCCTCTTTCAAGTTAGTCACCAATTTCTTACTTGTTACAAAAGTATAGAAATTTAATTTAAAAAGTATAATGTTAAAATATAAAAAAAAAATTATATAATGTTTATGTAGGGTTTCAGAAGTTGTCAAAAACTTAACAGAAAAAAACGTAATTTTTGATGTCTCGGATTTGAATTAATGCGTTTAATGATATTTTATCAAAGTGTATTAGATATAATTTTGCAAAGAAATTAAATAAATTTTGTAAAGAATATTATATTATTTATAAAATGTATATTCAGGAGGCACATAACATGGTTCGAGAAGCTAATGTACGTCAGGCGACGGCGGAGCGTCTCCTGGAGGAGAGCCGAATGAAATCGGAAGTGCTCGCAGCCGAAGTAGCGGCTTTGAAAACTTTGGTGCTCACATCTACACCGTCAAGGCCCAATCCCCATTTGCATCCTCAAATCGACACGAAGGGACGCGTTAGCAATGGGGAGGACAGTCAGCAGGGACTCTTTACGAAGAAACACCGAAGGTAATGGATAATTTTCTATTAGATTTATAAGTTTTTAAAACTGCCGAGTGCTTCTTGAATATGGAAATAATAAATTTAAACAATATTTTATAATATCTATACATTTCTACATTGTTTGTCGATAATTTCGAACAAATATTCTTACGTGTTACAAAGTACTAGAAAGGACTGTAGTTTACAATGTATTTTGTCGATTTAAAAATAAAAATAAAAATGTTTAAAAAAAAAGAATAAAAAATATAAATGATTTTAAATTAAAAGAGATATAAAAAAGTCGTTGCGTTTATTTTTGCAAGCTAAATTAATAATATATTAAAAAATTTGTAATTTTGATGCAGGTCGCCGTCGCACTTTAATTTAAAATACGGTCGAGAAAACTCGCCTCCTGATTCGCCTGTAAAAGAACAGAGGCCACCTTTGCCCACCGATAAGGAAGCCCTCGAGAGGGATTGGAAGCGTGAGCGTGAGAAGGAGAAAGAGAGGGAGTGCAAGGACTTCGGTCTGGAAGTCGACCCGAGGGTGCATACGGAGTTTCTCAGATGGAAAACGAACCCTTGCGTCGACAAAAGCGATCCCTTCGTTGCGAGGGTATTTAAAGAGGATATCGATCTCTGCTTGGATTTCCCGAATAAGGAATTGGGAACCAAGGTCAGGCAAGCTGTTCTGGATGGCATCATATTTATCGAGGCGGTCAGCGACAAAACGAAACTCGCTTTTCCCAAGTACGTTCTTAAGTTTTTTCATTATATTTAAAATACCTACTCAATATTTTTTCATATTGTAAAAGAAAAAGATTTTTATGTGCCGTTTAGTGGACAATCAAATATTATACATTTTATAATTATTACATTGTAATATTTTCATAATGTTTCTAATGCGCTAATATTCGTGGAATTTTGCAATTCTATGTTTCTGCAATACTGTATTGTCACTGCATTGTAATTCGCAAGATCGCGAAGTTGCTGACACAATAGCTGGAAGATTATATGCTATTATTTTTATGATTGGGTTGTTATTTATAAAACTGGCGTTTCTATAAAATTTTTATATATGAAACAGCAATAAAATATTTCGATTTAAGGAAATGTGCACTGTTGGAGGCACCACGGCAATGTCACTATCGTATGCGGCTTGGTGATCAAGAAAATCAATGGCATTGCATTTCGCAGATCTGTCGCAATCGAGTAAGTCTTACATGTAATCATTATTTAAATTTATTTCAAAAACCTTAAAAAATTCTGTTTTGTAAGGAATTGTGTGTTCCTTTGCAGATTATAGCAGTGTGTGACTTTCTCAATTATCTGAGATACGTCGAGCGTGGTCTCGTCAAGAGCTCAGGTATGTCACATAATAAACTATAGTTTAATATAATTTATTAGAAAATTATATATATTTTTTAATAATTTATTTTTTATATTTATAATGCCCTTAAATATTTGCAAAAAGAGTTTAAAACAAATATGGCTTCGATGTATAGTTCTTTGGATTAAATATTGAAAATTATAAGGAAATATTAAAATTGGAAGTATATAATTTCTATTTTTTTTATTAATAATGGAATTTATTAATCTGCAGTTCACGACGTTTACTGGGAGATCACGCGGCTGAGAAAGGAAATGGTTTTTGCACGGTTGGGTCTGGCATTGTCGTCTTGAGGTTCGCGTAGGCGGGATGTCATCTAGTCTCGAGTCATTTCGAGCTAGGGGTTCATTGTTTGAAAATAGAAATTTGTGAATTATGCGGAATAATTTAGCGACGCTCTCGTCGATTATCGGCCTTTTGTGCAGCGAAGGGGAGGGTGCAATGTTGCAATATATATCTTTCAGATATATATATTTGAAGTCTCTCTAATTCTGTTAAGTAATTCTGATGATAATATAATAATATTTCTAAAAAATTTACGTGCCATTCAGAAAACTGTATTGTATGACCGTAAAAAGGAAGTATAATTTATTGACAACAGATCTTCCATCTTTTGATTAAGAATATTTTACAGTGTGATTAATAACATTAATTTATATACACCAACTTATTTTTCTACTTTTTTAAAATAAAATATAAAACTACTCAGGATTAAATTTGATATTAATTTTGCAGTAAAACGTCAATTTTTCGCACGTAATTTTTTTTGAGATATTGCCGAAATAGTGCCGCCTATGGCAGATTATAGATTTAATTATTTGCGAACAAGTTGTAAGATGACAGTGAAGCTGATTACAAGGCTGTGAATGATCTTGACATGCGGATCAGACATTGTCGATGGCTCTCCTAAACGAGGAATGTAAATAATAGGAAAGATTTTTGAGATATTGTGTCATGTTTTCTGAAGTTCAATGAACTTATTGTTAGACTCATGTGAATTGTGACAATGGAGCCGTTGATTCCATGAGATAGTTATCAATCATATTATATATATGAGATCACTTCATGTCGTGGTTTGGTATTAACACCGAACAGAAGAAAAATCGTGTTTAGCTAATTATTTATATTTGTGTTTTTGTTACGGATCAGTTTTTTTTATTTGCCGTCGCGTGTCGAGTCGTAGTGATTTTTGTTGTTTCGTTGTCTATAATTTATCGATATATATTATACGTTGTGTTAATTGTTAATCTGACTAATGGCTTCCATTAAATATACCATTGATCGTATAGATTTATTGGAATTCTAAAGTGTTTGTACCGTGCCACCAAAACTCGAGAACATAAAATTATCATCTAAACTTCCGATTAATTCATTGTTGACTCACGATGACTATGTATACCTTCGACATTATTACTCACAGAGAGGAGCTACATCTGTGTGGACCATATGAATCTCCAAATTCTTAGTGTAAATAGAACTTCTTGAAACTTCTCATGACATGTAACGATTCTATACGTCTATATCATAATGCATCCGGTTATACGGAGCATATTCGTTTCTACTCTATAAATATTAGTCTGACGTATTGCAATCAAAACTGGCATTTGTGTCAGTCATGTATCTCCTGGTTGTATATACGAATATATATTTTGTTTACTGCGAAAAAAATATTCTTAATACTTTTACTCTAAATTTCGACTCATGATATGCTAATTAATTTTTTTTCGAGATAAATAATCTCCGCAATAATTTTCTGGTTAATTCGTTCAATGACTCAAACATAGAAACTCCAAGTGTCCGATAAATAGTTATTTCGGTACCGTGAATATACTTGGTAAGACTTTTATCTCGATTCTGTTATCTTCCGTCATTTATCGCGTTCGATATGAAACGTACGAAAGAAAGTAATTATGTGATTGGGTCGCCATTTATCGAATTATGCCAAACAACATGTGGCCAACGACGAAAACGAATAACGTTCCCTTGAGTGTTACGGGACGTAGTAAAAAGACTTCTTGTAAGCATTTCTCTTGTGAATAGAAAACATGTTAAATTGTATATCAAATGTAAATAGAGTCTTCTAACATTATTTGAGATAGAAACTTGTATTTAAAAACGAAATAAAGATAATCGCCATTGTAAAAAAAATATGATGCCTAATTATCGCAATCCCTTTGAAAGATAGCATTTTATTATTTTTATATTTTTGTAGATAACTGTTATAAAATACTACAATTATTTCCTTGCCATATATAAAATGTTGTCTTGTATACAAATTTTATGTTATCTCGCACGCGTTTATGCACCGCGTACGTTAATAATTAAGCAGTCATATTCTTTTGATAGCAACGACACTTATATCAGGTGGTGCGATCGTAAAGCCGTCGACACCGTCTAAAAAGAGGTCAGGATGTCCCGGGGGTAACACAAACTGAAATTTCTGCAGTAGACATGCGACAAACAGGAATACGCTGTTCCTTGCCAAGGTCTCGCCCAGGCACTTTCTATGACCTGTTAAATCGTTAATGTTACGATTTTCAGCTTTGTACATTTAAATGGATTTATATTGTTCTTCATACCTAAGCCGAACGGTATTAACCACGGATCCTCGACGAATTCTCCTTCGTCATTAATAAATCTCTCAGGTCGAAACACCTTCGGATCTCCCCAATGCTGCTCGTCCATATGTACGCTTCGCAAGTTAGCCAGCAAGGAATAATTCTTTTTTATCTCGTAGCCCAGTAGAATGGAGTCAGTCATCGCCCGATGAGGGATTGAAGTAGGCCCGACGTTCGCCAGCCTCGTTACTTCCGCTATCGTCGCGTTCAAGTATGGCAATCTGAAAATTGTCGGTCGTATAATTTATAATTCTGAGCGATAATTTGCGAATTAAATAATATTATTAGCGTGTTGAGCAATATTTTCAAGTTTGTACCGATTTTTGTACACTATACGAGGTAGGAGATCCTTGCCTAGCACCCTGTCGATTTCCTCGTGCACTTTTCTTTGCACATCCTGTTTCACTATGAGATACGTGATAATGAAGCCAATTGTATTGTTTGTCGTTTCCACACCGGCGCTGAAGAGGTCTTTCACAACGCTAATTAATTGCTCTTCTGGAAATATTCTGTATTATCCATCATGTGTCAAAAATTATTTGTGCAATTATTTTTATCATGAGAATTTAATACACGATATAGCGATACGGATTAATTACAGTATTATTATAATAAAATAGTCTTAAATAATAATGCTTTCTTGTTTTTGCACAATGCTATTTTTTTATTTTTACGAATTATAATGTATAGAAATCTACTAATTTAATCTAAGAATCTAATAACAACTGGCAGAAAATGTAATATAAATTTGAACTTGCGTTTCTCACCATACGTAAAAAAAAATTCTCATTTATGTAATTATGTACATTACGAAACATTGTGTACCGTCAAAAGATGATATGGTTGAGCTTGATTGCTTGGTTTCCATTTCCGCTAGGTAAACATCGATAAAGTCTCTGAACTCGCCGTGTGTTCTAGTTTGTTTGTGCCTCGCTATTTCAGACTGAAAGAGGATATATCTTATTTTATGTACAAGGATATCTTATTTCTATCTATAGATAGAAATTATATCGCTAATGGAGGTATATATCGCGTTACCCCGATGAATTGCCACATTCGTGTCAGTCTTTGATTTAGTACGGTAAACCCGGTTAACCCTGGGATAATGTATCTTAAAAACGGCATGTGGGTCAATATGCCGCCGGTGACGTTGCTATTTCTGATAATCCCGTTTACCACTGATAAAATCTCTGTCAGTTTCGGATTCTCCAAGTCAAATCTACAACAATATATCCCGATGTTATTTTCGGTTACGCGATTAATTGCATGTAATTTGTAATAGCTTTGCGATGTACCTGGCTCCAGCGACTAATGTCCATAAACTATTGAGAACAGCTATGGAGGTAATATTGTACAAGTTGGTAATTGGTCCCGATTTACTCAGCGATTCAATCGTGGTCGTTAAGGAAACCGCGTCGTTTAATATTATATCCTCCATTGTACCATTTCCGAATCCAAATTCCTTCAACGTTCTCAGAGCAAATCTGAATAATTTGTAATCAATCTTAATCTGATCTGATCTTTCTCTAATACACGAAGAAAATAACGTAACAGCAACATTTCAAAGATTTAATCTTAGAAAATTTCATTAAAAATATCGAGAAATTATGTAATAATTATTTTTAAAAAATATCGAATATAAATTGAAGTTTTTTTCGTTAATTTATATTTAGGTCAAAGATGCGTTTCGTGCATTTAGATTAAATTGCATGATTTTTAAGAAGCTTTAGGTATATAATAATTCCTTGCAAAATACCTTCTTTGGTCTCGCCAGACATCGCCATCGGTGAATAGTACACCCCTCCGTTCACCCCCCGTCCGAAGTCTATGTACAAATCCATTAGGTCTGCCGTCAAACTGAGGTCGACTCATCATCTCGATCACCGCATCCTTACCGGAAACAATGATCAACGGTTCGGCTATGCCGAGCTTCAAGCCGACGATGGGTCCGTAAATGTCGGCTAACCGACACCAGGCATGAGAATAGAACTTCGTTTCATCGACCAGACGTTTCACATCCAATATGTTTCCCACGATCGGCAAGCCGCGAGGTCCTCGAATAGAATATTTCGCGAATATCTTATATATTTATGTAAATTGTGCGATAATATAAAATATTGAGTTGTGTGTGTGTCAAAGTGAAGTAAATGTTCTTAAAAAGTAGAAGCAAAATTGTTTTTTAAAGCAAAAGCATAAAATGAAAGCATTTTTTGTGTTACATTTTGCAGGATAAATATCAATAATCTATTTACTTTAATAAAAATAACTTACTCCATCTTATTCTAGTAATTAATTATTACTTTTTAAAATTTATCGCATATGTGTGAGATCGTAACAATTGCAACATAAAAATAAAAATATTTTTGGAATTATGGAGCAAATCGTTTTCGAATAAATCTGACTTTTTGAAAACAATTGCGATATAGTTTACCTGGAGGAAACATTGATGGTCGGCGCCAGTCGTACAGAATCTTTATCGTGAATATTATCGCCAGGCAAATTATTATAAACCACATTATTTATTTGTTATTTAATGGCAATAAAGAAATATTATAAAAATAAGGTAGAAATATTCTAAGTAATTTGTTTTACTGTGGAATTCTTTTACATTTTAAAGGAACCTTTTATATCTTCTAGAAAGAAATCCAAAGAGGATGTTACCACGAATCAGTAAATCTCGCACGTAATAAATACTATTAATTGACTATATGGTATTTTATTAAATTTTCTATGTAGTTTATCGACTGCATCAAAGTGTCATTCGCGGCAAGCGATACTAATCGAAACTGCATCAGTCTCGTGGAAATTCTGTTATATGAGAGAAACACCTCCTTTCACTGGGATATTAGGCAAGAGGATTTTGGCTCAAGGTTCCAGCTGTGGTCGAATATATCTGTATATGCTGCTGCAGGCATGCACGCGACAGTCTACCTCTTATTCCACATCGGTCCTTACATTAAATTTCATTTTACTACAAAATGCTTTGCGACAGCTGCAACATCGAACCGTTTCCAATAACACGTTATGCAACATCCTTCCAACGAACGCATCAATGTTTCATTAGCTAATATCTTCTTACGGTTTTGGCAAAACAATTTGTTACAAGTAATGAAAAGTTTGTTATGAATAATTTGTGTTTATTGTATATCTATGGACTATAAGTAGAAAGAGAGAATGTATGTTAACTTTTATGTGTTAATTATTTTGCAATGTAGGATAGAAAGCTGATTAGAGATATGAAGAAATGATTTAAGACGCTCCATATGGAAGCAGGGACGCGTGTTTCTTAGGGGACGAGAATATACGACGAAGTGCGCGGCCGTTGGGTCATTGCTAATATCGACGATTATATAGTGGTGCGAGGTAATCACAGAAGTTATAAGCGGCAGATGTGGGAATCGTAAATTCGCAATTCCAATCAATCGCGCTCACATCAAAGCGCGCGCTATCCCCGTTCGCCATTTCGGGCGTTCGTGGTCCAGCTAACACCTTGCGCAATTGCGTTTACGATTTCGCGCTCGCACGCGATCCTACACACCTTTCCTCTTCTATTCCCCGGGCCCACGTCGACAACCGTCTTCCACCGGCTTCTTCCGCTTAGCGCGCAACGTCAAATCGAAATGAGAACGATCGTGCAGGCGGCCCGGCGTAATAAAGATCGCCCGCGAACCACTTAAAATCATCGAGTTAATCCGACCGCGATTATCCGGTTGAATTGCCGAATCGTTCGTAGTACGTAGGTTATTGACACTGTTATAATTATTGTTAATAAACTATTTCTCTTTGTGCAACAGCTGTGGCGCGACGTTGGTTGGCACTTATTAAATAAAAATAATTAGAATAATTAGATGTAAAGGTAGAAATGTGAGGATTTAAAAAATTTTTTAACCGTTTCTTCTATCCATGATATTGCTACAGTAGTACAGGAAAAGTTCAAGAAATGAGATACAAAGTTAAAAACAAAATAAAAATTTTAATATTATCCACACATCAAAATTAGAATTATTTCTTGCTTAATTTTTTATCTCATAAGTATAAGTTCTGAACAGATGAAGAGGATTTTTTATTGTAAATATAAATAGTTAAAAAGAGATTTTAATAAAATTTACCATTATTTGAAATATATTTTGCTTTTGGAGCTTTTCTCTCGGAAGAACTTCCGCTGCAAGGTGAAACGACGTTGTAAAATTGGAAACGACTGCCATCAACGATTCTGGGGACCAGAGATCACAGCATCCGCGCGTGATGGTCCGTAAATTATTGCATCTCGGCGTCAGTAGCGATAAAACGATCAGCCAGAGACAAAGGAACATATAAAGCGAGCCTTACTTCCTTCGATGCACAATAGATGAAGCTGCGTAACATACAGGTAACGAGCCTCGTCACGAGTTGATGGTAGCAACGTAAGGAGAGAAAAGAGAAGAAGAGGGAATAAACGTTAATTATCACTAGAAAAAGAGCGATTTTTAATTTTCCCATGCTTATTCGCCGAAACGTTGGACGAGAGTTGATAATCTGCTTTTTTTTATATTAAAAACTTGAGAGAATGCTGCAATAAAAAATTATTAAATTTCTGTTGGGGAAAATCTATTTAAGCGCGATGAAATATTACGCAATCGTTTTCTTAATCATAAGAATGAGATTTTGCAACTGCTTCTTTTTCAAATACGTTATCGGTTGTAATGAAATTCTGAAACAATATGTGCATAAATAAAAATTGACTTTAAAGATTTTGGCATTCTTATCACAAAAGTAATACATATTCAAGTAAGGTACCAAATGCAATTATGAGATAAAATAAAACGTGAATCTTTTTTGAGTGTGCACTCACATTATCATAATTCAAGGACGCGGAACAACTGTAATTCATTAAACTTTTAAATGCGGCGCGAGCGAAATATCCTTCTTGACATAGAGAACAGAGCCGAACAAAGCGACAGGACTTTATCGTGCATAACGAACGAAGACATTGAAATTAAATGTTTCACGGTCAATTATCGATTGCCTGTTAAATTGAAATCAATATAGCCAAATGTAGAATCTCTTAAGTCCAAGGAAACCAACGCATTGGTCTTCCAAAACTTCAAAAGATTTTTAAATATAACTTTTGATAATAATTGCATTTAAATATTAAAAAAAGTTTAATATAAGAAAAAGTTTCAGATATTTGCTTAAAGTTACTTAAGTATTGTATAAGAAGTACGATGATGGCAAATAATGTTTTCATTATTCGAGACGCTAATTGTCTGACAATTGTTAACAGATCGTACGAAGTGTCGAATTAATTCGATCATACGAAACACTCGTCGCTCAGTCACGTAAGACTTTTTGATGAGGTAATTATTCCGACGGTGGCAAACGACTTTCGCATAGGCGAGTGAGATGTATTTAATCGACTGATCAATTCATCAATCCATCATTGAGATGATGAGGAAAATACCGGCTGGGGAAATTAAGACGCGGAATAAGGAGACGAGACGTTGCTGCTGCTGATAACGAGTCCGGAAAATCGAGATGCTGGGTCGGGGGGTCTTAAAAAGAAGCGGGGGGTTGGAGGGATTTGATGATAGGTGGGGGGCGGCGGTGACTCGCATTTACCGAAGGCGCTAGGTCCAGCCGAGTTGGCATTCGATAAGAACAGACTTCGATTCAACATCAGGCGGGTGCTGCCGTCAGCGTGGAACACCATCGGGACTTTCGATTACTTATCGTGGTCAGTACCAATGACAAACACCGGCTCGATCTTTTCTGGAAACATGATTCAGTTGTTGGATGATTATTTCTTAATTGGAAATTAAATATTTGGCCCTGTCAGGTAGATTAGTATACAGTGACGGATTTGGAATTTCGTTGATAAAACGAAGAGTTCTGATCCGGTATTGGATGTAGGCCGTGTTTACTGCCCGCAAAGCAAAGAAGAAGATCTGAAAAGAACAAAGAAGTGACATTCTGGCGGCGATGCTGGTTCGCGCGCCATACTCCTTCCTTTTCATTCTTGCGGTAGGTTCCTCTCTTGTATTCTACTTAATTGTATTATTTAGAAGCTACTGTGAAATTGAATTTACAGTAGAATATTTTGTTTACTTCACAAATAATATCATTTAATTTAAAAAACTAGTAATAGACTAAACACAAAAATAATTTTTATACAATATTTGAAGGAATTGCATAGAATTCTTCTTATATGCATATATAAAAACGAAAAGTATTATTAAAATAAAAAAGTATTATTAAAGTAAAGAATAAAAAGTATTTTTAATCAAGAGCATCGCATTTCACTTTCAATGAATTTCTCTTTTTATTTCGTCGTATTAATTAGATGTATCGTAGCTATAATTATATTTTTTTCACTTCAATGCTCTAAATATGTCAGTGTTAAATTATTTGTTAATTCAATGAAATATCGCCGTTCTTATCGTGCTGTAACATACATATATTTTATTCTTTGACTATTCTCACTTTCGTGCCGACGCACTGTGCAGTTGTTTCGCTGGTTAATCTCGCGTGCCGAGATATCGTCGGGCTTGCATGGTTTGATCGGAGACCAATTGTGAAACCGACATTTTCTAAATTAAATCGTATACATAATCGCCGCTAGACGATATCGAACGCGTCTTCACGAAACTTTCCCATGTATCTCTGGAAAACTATTTGCTGGCTCGTACAAACGTGTATTATTTTCAATTTCAATTATTTACGCGTATAATTAACATTAAATTATTAACATTAATAGATACTTACTTCAGTAATGTTATCAATGGTAATTTTTATTGACGTAATATTATGTTTGATTGAAGCAGGTCTGCAGTTGGTTTAGATATAATGCTGCAGTTCCACTTGCCTCTCATTCATCAAATCAAGTACGTAGATTAAATATACAATGTATATTTTTTTTATGTTAAAATTTATTTGTATTTATGCGTGTTGCACACATTATATATAATTATTTTTATTTAATATAAATTTAATATACAATATCTGTTTTTGCTTACTTTATGCCAATTTTTTCTCTTCAATTTATCTTTCTTATTATTACATTTTTGAAATATTTTATACGCACTTTTCATATTTTTATACGTTTTAAAAAATCTTTCTTATATTGTGTTATCTGGAATATCTTATGTCATAAAATATAAATTTTCGTTGAACTTTTTTCTTTTCAGGTTAATATAGAAAAATGTCTATAAAATTTTTATATTTCTGTAATTATAATTTATTTAGATTTTCCCATTTCTTCACAATTTTACGGGTGCAGCAGTTTTGATATATTATATCATTTATCATGATCACTACTTTCATAAAACGATGCATCGAATATTTCTTCATCAATCACGCTTCATGCAAACTACAATACTTTGATTCGGATTCATTGGCTTAGCGTAAGTGGATTTTGCAGATAAATTCTAATTATTTCTCATTCTGGGGTATTTATATTAACAGTTTCGTTAATAAAGATCTGTTATGTTAAACACAAAAACTTTTACATGCATTTGACAATGAGCTATTTTTTCAAATCAGTTTAATCTTGTAGTCAACTGTTCTTTGGCACCTGTTTAATTCTTCAGATGCAGGATGCATTCAAAGAGAAAAAAACAGATTCCCAGTCTGATTCGGATGATAATTCCTTGAATTCTGGTTCCATGAGAGAGACGAAAACATTGGAAGACACATCCGAGGATGATGAACATGACGAACATGAAGAAACTGATGAAGATGACGAAAATGACGAAATTTCAAAGTAAAGTATAATCAATAAAACAAATCTCTATATAATAAAATACATAATAAATACAATTTGCAATAATACTAAAAATAACAAAAAATAATGTCAAGTAGAATTTCGAAAGTTATACATAATTATTTTATTAACTTGAATTATATTGCAATGTCTGCATCACCATTGTTAACTATTTGATCTTTTATTTTTTCTGCACAGCACGAGCAATGTAAATCAAAATATGAATATGAATATGAATACAAATGTCTTCAATCGCGGTGAGCGTCATCGCATTACGCGTAACGGCGAGCGTCATAAGCAAACCACGACGACGGAAGATACCACAACGGTCACAGAATACGGGACATTGGAAGAAATGGCCAGGGAAGAAGCAACGAATTGTGGAAACGCCAGAAGGATGAACCAGAGGTACTCGAGTAGCTTTTACGAGAATACGACGGACAACGCGCTGACCGTGGAAAAGGAGTTCCACGACATGGTCGGCAACAATTCCAAAGTGAAGAAATCTGGTAGCGTTCACGAGGGCGAGGACATTACTCTGTGCTGGATCGAAATGACGACTATCAAGGAGGACAAGACCACTCAGCCGCCGAAGAGACTGGTTATTCGCGAATACACGATCTCCTTTGAGAACTCGGTAACTATACCGGAAAGGTACCTCGAATGTAAAAGGTACGAGGGCGAACTGACGGCGAACGATCCCGATATCGGCAAGACGGCCCTGTTCGAAGTCATAGACGAAGACACGATGGTCAGCAGGGTCGTAAATTTTACCTCGGTCAATCATGCTGGTAATGTCACTACTTGGCAACACAAAAAGGTGAAATGCGGGGTCGGTCCGGTGGTCAGTAAGAATATCGTGGAACTGAACGACGGCTCGAAGAACCCGAAGAAGAGAGTGGAGATCAAAGTTAGTCCCAAGATGCATCAACTGACGGCGACGACAACCGAGGAGGAACCCTGCACGGAAAGTTCCGAGGAAACTGAAGAGAGCAGCACACTCACTGAATCTACTGAACACGCTACTGGACTATCCTGCGAGAATGGCGTTTGCGAAACAACCGTGACCTCCCCAAGCATTTCAACAAAAAACGGTAAAGTCAGCACAGCTGAAGAAACGGTTACTAAGCTGCAGAGCAAAACCGAGAGCGAGAGCGAAGAAGATTATAGTTTGCCCCCTGTTACGAAGTCATTAACGTTGCCTGATGAAGAGGTATCCAGAAGATCGACGACCTTTCCCAAAATATCGACTACGATTCAGGAATATCAGGAGAAGATAGACTGCGAGGAGAATTCGTCAGATCCAGCGTGTTTAACGGAAAAATATAGTAAATATGATACACCTTCTCCGGGACAATTATTTCCTGAACTATCAGCTGAAGTTTCTACGACGGAAGCCGAAACGTCAATTCCAATCGGACGCGATAAAGAAATAACTGCGAAAGAAGAGGGGAGACTGAAGGAGACCACGCAATCTTCATTTACGTCTAGAGAAGAGAAAAAAGTAACTTCTGATTTAGTAACTGAAGAGACAATTGTAACAGATATTTCCATGGAGTCTACAGAAGCACATGCATCTCAGTCAACGGATCAAGTATCTGTCGATGATAGTAGTACTATTTCATTGGAAACAAAGATTATGACAAGCGAAGAAGTAGATAAAATTGACCATGTTCCATCTTCAAGTAAAGTCACGAGTAAAGTGACTTCAGGCAAAGTTGAAACTGAACCAGATATTACGACCGCGATACCGGTTGAATTTATTGAATTCACGAAAGGACCCGATAAACCTGGTCAGGGCTTGGATAAATTATCCGAATCGCCAATCTCGACTGAGAGTGTAACCGGTCCTATAATTATCGAGTCCTCATCGACGTCCGAAGAAGTGCCCTCCGAGGAAAGCGAGGAAAGCAAAACATCTGCAATCGAAGGGACGGCGTTGGTTGGAGGACCAAAGACCTCTAGCGAAGGAAAATTCGTTTCGATGTCTACAAGAACGTTGCCGAAGGAGGTCAGATCGACGACTTTGTCACCGGCGATAAGCAGCGAGGTGGACCATTCGTGCGAAAACTCCGAGGAGTGCGAACACATCGCTAGTTCGGAAGCCTGCGACGCGTCCGGAAATTGTGGCGAGACGACCACTAGGTGCGATTCAGGGGAATGTTCCAAGGAGGGGATCACGGAGGATCAATCAAAATTTGATACGAGTCCTCCGTTAATAATGACGAAAGTTCCACCGTCCGCGACTAGTTCGCGATCGTCTGAGGAATCAGGTATGATCGAGACTCAGCACACGACTGTTGCGAATGTCGCGACGACCATGTTAACATCTCGAGAGAACACTTCGACGGTTGTCAACATTCCCGTCACAATGGACACCCGAAGGAGCACGACTACAAGCACGCCGCGGCACAAGCTCACTCTGAAAGTCAAAGTTCTCCTGGAGCACATCAACGAAAACAAGGAGAAACAGAACTTGGTCGAGGTGGAGAAACATTTGTCGCTGGACGAGAATCCGGGACAGCACGATAATCCCGAGTTACTCGAGCAATTGAAATCCCTGAACGATTCCGTCAATATGGAGACTATAAGCGCACTGCTGAATTGTACTAGCTTGGGAAATTTGACAAGGGATTCGAATTTCGTCAGCGGAGAACCGGGTGATGCTGTTGACGGTAATGACGAAGAATTGGAATTTTCGGATATTGATCCTGATGAGGATTCGATCTCAGAGCCGTTCGCTTCTGGATACGTCGATGCTAAAAGCGATTATTCGGAATATGAAGAGCACGAGGTATCATCTCGAAGAAGACGAAGACGAAGAAGTCTTGTTAATCCAATGAAAGAGCTAAATAGATTTGTTAGACGAAGTCTTTATGATCCCACCGATTCTGTGGTTGATTCTTTTAACACTTCTCTTAATGTTTCAAAATCTCAGCAGACTGAATTAACAAAGGACAACTTGCAACTTTCGACAACGACAAATTACACCGAGGAGGAAACAACGGAAAATGAAAGAAACACAACTAAGGAAAAAGATGAGAGCACGACGACGTTATTTTCGACAACAATGAGCATCATTGATCTCTCAAATGCTTCGGAATCTCACGAGGCTAATCAGACGAAGGAGAACATACAGTTAACCACTACAATTAAACCCGAAGAGGAAACGAGCAATGCTGTATACATAGGAAGTGAAAAAAATATAACCAACGAAAGAAATGAAAGCGCAAGATCTTTGACGAAGGAGAACATCAGCAACGAAACAAAAATGGAGGTCGTGCGAGAAACGTTACCAGGAATACAGCAGGATGTTGTGGTCGGATTGCAGCATATGGTGTCGCAATTGGCACAAGGTAATCTGACTTCGATAAAGAACATTCCAGAAGCCGTTAAAACAAATTTATTGGGTATTTTGGCGGACCCTAAAGATACCAGAGTTCACTCGAGAAGAAGAAGAGCGGCCGCGGAAGAGGTCGGACACTGGTCGAACGAAAGAATCAAGGAGGCACCCATGGGTGGCAATCTTAGAAGTCTCACTGAATTCACACTATACAAAGTCGTTCCTTGAGTAGATGTACGGCAAGATTAAATTCCATTTTGCTATTTTTTAATGTCAAAAGATACTTTTAATGAAGCTGAAATGATTATGTGTTGTGTGTAAGAATCTTATTGTACATTATAATTCAATCATACAAATTATTAAAAGAAGCTTCACATATGTATTAAATTTTTGTCTTTCAAAATACAACAGATGAAAGATTATAAAAAGGAATATGCTTTTTATTTATATAAATGTATTTACGAATTTACAGATAAATATAATATAGGAGAAAAGAAATAAAATTATTTTAATATGAAATAAAAATTTATTCTTCCGTATATTGGTATAATTTTTACTGATTATTTTTGCAACGCTGAGTTTAATACACATATATGTCTGCCGCATTCGTGCCGCAAGAGAAATTGATATTTACTACGTTTAATAATCTTTAAAGTTGTAAACGAGCTTGATTATCGTGCGAACGGTTATAGCTTGCGCGTTCATAACGTTCGAAAATAATTAATCATGAACACCGGCATCGGCAATCACAATCGCATTGGCCGAATCGCGCTTATAATGAATCGTGCTAACGAGGAATTGTTACGCACTTTTATTGTTTCCATTAAGTTGAAAATAATGCGTCGGGTGATAAACATAACTATTAAGCACGCGGTATTCAAAGGCCCCCTTATTATTTCTCTATCAGCCTATAACATCTGTCTCATGTTGGAAATCCGTATATAATTTATAATCATAAATAATTACATTCGCACTTTTTCCTTCTCTTTTTTTATCGAATGTTATTAATTGATATAGTATTTTTCATTTATTTGGCATATATTTCCTTTCATTGTTTTCAATTAATTATCTATTAATCAGTAAACACGTATTCGTTATAATCAGAGAAAATATTATTTATGGCAACAAATATTTATTTCTATTTCAATAAACAATTTAATAAAATTCTTAATATTTACAATGATTAATTATATATGATTTTGTAGAATTACACAAACATTTTATAGATTGTAAACGTATGCAATAGTCGTACTGTTCCATTATCCCGACTTGGTTGTTCCTGAACAATTGTACGTCCGTGGCGATACACATTTTTCCGCTAATGGGTAGAATACCAGAGTATTCGGGCACGTAAGATTGCCCATTATGGCGTAGCGGGTGCCGTTCCAATAACACAAGTAATATTTTTTACATTCCACATCCTGTATCGGAAACCTGCCGTATCGAAGGCAGAATGGTGCTAAGGTGGTCGATGGTGCTGAGGTGGTCGATGGTGCTGAGGTGGTCGACGGTGCCATTGTCGTCGTTTGTTGACACGTAGCCGTGTTCTGAGATACGCATATACCCTGAGAAGGGTCGAATATGGCAGAACTGGCGCAGGACAGGATTACCGGGTTGAGGGTCTCGCCGTCATTCACACAAATATAATAGTTTTTGCAAGTCCCATCGTTAATTTCAAAAGCGCCTATTTCCGTGCAGGTAGGTTTTGCCGTGGTCTGACCTTCGGCGATTTTGAGAGAAGAGCAGAGGCACAAAAGAACGACTATCGAGAAACGATCCATTGCTACGTGCGATTGAAATATCCGGTCGACGCGAGCAGCTTTATTTATAGCGAAGAGGTTTATGGTTTTATTATGTTAATTATACCCTCACTTATCAGTATGTAAAGCGAGATAAAGTGAAGGCTCCATAGCCTTGTCACGAATTAATGCATTTTCTCGGAATTTCAAATCTCTAATTTTAATTTTATCGATAATAATATTCTCGTACAAATTTAATTTTTCAACATTTATTCTTCTTATCATTCGTCAATTTTCTAATTCAAGGAGTTAATACATAATTTATCAACGCTATTAGGTTACGTAATTATCGAAAGTTAAATGCGACGGGATTAAAATATAACAATGCGCGTTTTTACGAAGTTGTTTGAAAAGTCAGGACGACATCTGCATCCCCGATGATTCTTTCCAGGTGAAATGTCGGACGCGACATTCAGAATGCGCGTTTTTTTAACGCGACGGCCTTACGACGAGGAAATCGAGGGTGAAGTCTACGGAATACAAAATCGCCAGAAAGCGACGAGAAAGTTGCAACTGGATTTAATGTCCGCACGTAATATTCTGTCGGCTCGTGCGTGCTGGCGTTATGCATCAATTATGCATGCACATCTTGTATCTATATCAAAATAGATCTTATTTTGCATACCTTGTTCGTATCAAACATTTATTTCTTATCTCGCCATTAGATTAAAGATTTATTTTTTATCATAATAAAATTATATTATTTATCTATATGTTTTTTATACATTAAATAGATTTTAATAAACTTTGATGTATAATATCGTTAATAATAATAATTTATTTTACAAGATGTAAGATATATAACGTTATATTATGTAGAATAGAAAATATTATTTGAAACGAAGAAGTCGCAGCTATATCGCCGGACAAAGGAGCATTAGGACCTGCGTTACGACATTCCAATCTACGACCCTTAAGGGTCCAGATAACTTTTCTCGCTGTCCATTAGTAGGGGGTCATCACAAGCAGAGATTTCTTGAATAGATACGGAAAATCCTCCATCTAAACGATGCATTCAACTGCAGACTAAAAGAGAGAGATCGGTTAGAATATACGCACGGAGGAATCCTTGTTCTGGAGCGAGGGAAAGGTGTTACGGAAGGGAGAGAGAGAGAGAGAGAGGTGTCAGGAAGGAAGGAGAGAAGCGCAAATGTATATAAGAAACTTTGGTTGAAGACGCTCCAATGGACTCTCTCTTTGACCCTGGTCAAGTGCGCATCTTTCCTTCCATCTTTTTCTCTTCTTCCCACCTCCCTTTCCATGCATGGTCGTGCCGTCCCGATCCTGCGTCCTTCCACTTCAACCTTCACCTTCACGCGGCGAGGAAGAGAACTGGGTTCTCGCGTCCGTTCGATCGTATTACGCGCCGTGACGATGGCACGAGGCTGAAAGCCAGCGAAAATTCAATTTGCTTTAGAAGATTCAGGACGAGTGTGATTTTGGTTTTTGCGTGCATGTGACATGTTCTTGGCGGAGAGATCCTGACTATAGGAGAAATGGATGTTCGAAGAGTGAGTAACATTGGTAACGAGAGATTATTATTTAACAAAGTCACCGAGTAATTGTGGTATTGTTATTGCCGTTGAATTAGGAGATTTCAGAGCTTTTCGATCAAAATTTAATTGATTGATGTTGCATGGTACCAGCTATTAAATTGTTACCAAATTATTATCAAATTATGTTTTCGATATGTATAAAGTATTCAATAGATAGTCGAAGATAGCAATTTTCCCTTACGTTTATTATATTAATTATAAATTAATTATAAAAAAAATAATAATCATAGAAATTTTTTGGTAGCGTATATTTTCATGCAATAAATATTTTAACAGTAATTTTTATTATACTTTAATAAGCTTATTATACTAATAACTAATAAGTTTATTACGTTAATAATCAACGCAGAATATTCGTTATTAATAGGCGATTCTTCATTACCTTCATCGTGTGCAATAGCTTCCGGCTGAGAAAATGCAAATCGTTGCCCTTGCGTATTAGATCGTTCTAGTGAATTTAATGATGGATCATTTTAATGCGCTATAATTCTCTCTACTCGTGATATCGATAACGAGGCGAATCGTGTGGGCCGCGCGATTATGATGTACCGCCGAGAAACGTGAGAGCCTTGACGACATAGAAAAGACGTGCACCGCTTTCGAGTCCAATTTATATTACATATGGATGAAATAAATACGCGAGAATTCTTCACGTTAATATCAAACATTATTTCGTCAGTAATTAATATACTTTGTAATATACACTATTGTAAAAGAATAGGAAATAACAAGAAACTGAACAATACTTTTCAAATGTAGTCGCATTTTTACTGCACGAGTTATTTTGTCGCTGGGAAATTATACCGTGCGTATGCGTACATATATTGATTTTTTCTTATTATTTTATCAGCCTATTTTTGGCAAATATGTAATTTTGTATTTTTATACCTTCAAGTATAATTTATTGAAAACAAGAAGAAGCCTTCCCCTCTTGTTATCATTATTTCAATTACCAAAATTAATAGTCGAGTTTCAGTTACAAAATTATAATTTTTGTGAACAAGGTGTTTGTGCAAATCCGTGCCACAGTCACGTTCTTTAATTAGCCAGAAGAGTACCGTCGGAGCAATATGTTAATGTAGCGCCCGCGTTGTGTCTCGAGAGTCACGATTGATTTATGCACATCGTGAATCGACGATAGCGCGTGTCAGAACGACGAATAAGTGACGAAGGCATATAAGCCGCTTTCGAGACGAACGATCAGGCCGTTCGGCACATCGCCAGTCGAAGAGGGAAACTCTTTCGATGTTTCGACCGACCTAAATCTATCGCTTTCCGTTTGCACGTGTCTCACCTAGTCCCGATTACAAAAATATATACAGTAGCGCAGATGTTTCCCAATTAGTTCTTTTCATGTTACAATTATCAAGAGCGTTATACGGGATACTTTATAATTAATAGAAAGAAGACATCGGCGTTCGATATCAGCGTTACTACATGCTTGTGAAACTTGTCGATTTTTAGGACAAAAACGTAGAAATGCTGATAAATTCTGTTGTAACTTTTTTGATTGAACTGCAAAGTACAAAAAATAAACAGTGAAAGAATTATTTCTGCACAAAATAGTTATTACTTTAATTTAAGACTTAATTAAGAGGTATCAGAGAAATTCTCAGTTTTAGATAATACCCGTTTAAACTTATCTGCAAACATGCATAGCGCTGATAACGTGTGAGAAATTATCTTTTCAGAAGAAACACAATGGAATGTCGTTTTCCATTTACACGCTTTATCAGTTCTTTTGAAAAGTGTCAATATGTCTGAATCTTTATGAGCACGCGATATCCATGCAAACATGAAGCTTTTCTATTCGAAGTGCGTGCGTCACATTAGTTTTGATAATTTAGTAGTATCTTATTTTGATGGATGTGCAAGGTTCTCATAGTCTATTAATATTAAAAATCAAAATAAATATATACCTGCGTGTAATTTATATTTTAACATCTATTTTATAGTAACGATTTGAATATGCAATAAGTAAGAGTTAGGAGTGCTAGTTAACAGATTCGTTTGCATTGACAAAATAAAGGTGGAATCTCCTTCCGTTTGTTAGGAATTCATGAAATTGAATTGTCAATAATGACGTTGTGCAAATGTACATTATGCTTCCTTTCTTCGCGAGATATTTTCAAATATTATGTTTGTACATTTTTTATTCAATTTGCATGTTCCTTTTTCGGTTTACATACTTTCGCTTAATATATTATCACGTACGATCTGAATTATAATCGCGAATGCTTGCTACGGAAAGATTCACAATACTATCTCTGTCATTTTCTAAACGAGACGATAATTTGCTCGAGATAAGTTTCTTCGGCGAAATCACGATTTCAAATAATCGCAGCGAAATGTCAAACATCGCGATTTCTGAAGAAGTCCATATGAGAGGTCATGACGCGAATGTGCTTTATTATGCCGTATTTTTTTTACGTACGTCGAACTGGAGCAGCCCGCGATGTAAATACGATAGTTAACTCTCTCTGTCTCGACGCGCCTGTAATTGTCTTCTGCGCCGCTGAAGCACCGTTAGGGCTCGTCTTTTCTCGAGAAGATCGTTGAGATCTCCCGATTTTCACCCGACTATTCCCACGGGAATTTAGACTCTGTCTTAGAAAGTGACAGGATAATGCCATTCTATAATTTCGTGCACAAAATACGTTTTTAACATTTTTACGTAGACGTTTCTCAAAATGCATTTCGCGTACATTCAAGAAAAAATTATTACACACGTTTTAATAAAATGGTATAATTATAAACTTTTATTTTGTATTATCAAAGAGAGCAACGGCCTTTGCCGAGCAACATCGAAAGTTTCGCCTGTGAATATCGATCTCGTTGACGTTCGGTCTCGATTTCACGGTGATATCAAGCAGAATTTCTCGTACGCGATGATCGTTTCATTTCGGGCGACATTATCCCGTAATGAGAGCGCAGCCTCATTATCGGCGGCGCGCGGCGGTTCGTCTCGATTAGCGCCGACATTTATTTTCCAACACACGCGCGCGCCCGTATGGGACACGCACACACGCGCGGAGAGCGCCGTCAGAATTGCACGTGATACGACCCCGCGCGTTACATCGTCTTCTCTCGCTGTAGGTCCCAGCTCGTCGTAATACCCACAGCCCACTTACCTACATTACTCGTTTTATGTGTGCGCTGGCGCTATATCTTCGCATCTTCGGTGACGAGTTTTGTACCTACATGCGCGCGCGCACAGTGGCGTAATCAATTTTAATAATCGGACGTTTTGATAATTAATATCTGCGTCAGCGTGGGACGTTCTTAATGAGAAAGCACGCGGGCGACTTCCGCGCTGCGAAGATGTTTCGACTTCATCGCCGCCTTGGGGCAGAACGATTATTAGAATTTATCGACCCCGCGTTATTAGTAAGCACACTGTTGTTACGAGTTGATGATTTATGCAACTACAAAGAGAACGCGCGCGTTCATCGAAACAAAAGTTTATTATTTGTATCTGGGATAAATTGTCTTTGCAAATTCAAAGTACTTATAAAATATAGGTGTATAACGGAATATGTTTATAATTATATAATTATATTGTAACTTTGTATATGCATTTTTATTTCGGCTTTTGAATTTTATCGATTCTGTTTGCGCCAAAGAGTTTGCTATACCTCGAGAGCGAATTTATAACGGAGTGCATCGCCGGTCTTCAATATCCTAGTTACGCTGATGCCTTCTCGCATTCGCGTCCTCTCACCTTGCACTTCTGGGTCGAGACCCCACCGGGTTGCGGTCGAGGCCGGTATATTTGCCGCGCATCCGAATAGAGCCATATAATCTCCCGTTCAAACGTGACGGTTGAAACGAAAGAAGGAGAGAATCGATATACTTACATCGGTATCCTCGATCGTATACAATCGTAAACGATCGACCTGTGTGCGCCAAATAGATGCTCTCCAGATGTTCCGGACGATCTCTAGCCGAGAAATCGGACCTATCCGCTTCTTAGCAGATTTCGACCCGTTCTTCTATCCTTAATTCCATCCTTGACTTAAGAGCGCGGAGTCACCATTATTCTCGATCCATGCTTGATTAATACCTGCTGGGTATTCGCTAGCCTACTGACTTCTCATTAACGTCCGTCTTAGGAAATAGCGTCGTGCCACATCGTTTCATAGATGAAGATAAAATCCGAAAGAATGCAGGAAGTAGGTTTATTTGCGCGCGCTGAATTTAATCGAAATATACAAATGTAAAATATCTCGCGATAGAAATCGTGAAATCATAAAAAATTTAGAATCGTAGTTAGAAAATTTTGCTTTATATTTAACACTTACGTTATACCTCAATGAAAATTTAAAATACTAAGCTTTAATGCCGTCGTGTCCGGTTCGGTATTTTTTTTTAAGTTCTCATCGAGAATAATCATATACACACGTAAGTGTTGGGGGAAAATTTTCTAACTACTGCGTGAAGTATCTCCGTGGGATAAGCGTGACAATTTCGATTCGCGCGTTACAGTCAGAGTCATCAGGCGAGAAACTACCTTGCGTCGAACACCTGCGCGCCGTAAACGAAACCGTGCGCGCGAAACATCGCGTCGCGAATTGCGTATTGCGCGTAGAGCGCAACTTGCAGCGCGACCTGGGTCGGGAAGCAATTTGCATAACGTGCCCCCGTGCGCGCGTAAAATCGTCATAACGCGTTATTAGAGGCGCGTTTCTCGCGCTGTAGCGCGCGCGCGCGCACGAGAAACCCGCGAGCGCGTGCCTCCTCCTCTTTTCTTCCGTTTCTTCACTTTCCTACGCGGCTTCCGGTTTCGCGGGACAAACACGGTCACCCGTCGACTTACTCTCGTTCTCTCTCACGAGAACGGCGCCGCGGCCGCGGCCGCACGCGCACGTACTCGAAGAACTGGCACGTGGAGAGCTCTTTCTCCCCCGCAATTCAATCGACGTGGGAGAATCTCAACCCGTCGTCGGGTGCTGCGAATCGCGATAATTTCCCGGCCTTTCTTCGACATTTCCTTCATTTTCGTCGCGGCCTTCCGTGATGAAGGCTTCCTAGTATGAATTTCCTGCCTTTGAAAGAATAATTCACCGTGAATTTTGTGAAGATTCAAAGAAAACCTTGAAATCCTTGGAACATATATCGGAAACAAAACTTGAATTTATATCGAGTTTAACTTGATTGTGTTAATAATATATACAAAAATCTGGCTGCAGAAATTATTTTAAGCAAATAAAGAAAAAGTAAAATTAAAATTACAGCAAGTGTTACATGTTTCAGTCTTTAATATATTGATATATTTTTATTTTACTATAATAATTATAATTTAATAATTATAATTTGTTATTAGTTCAGTGACAAATATTTGTTTATGAGAAATGACTCAAATATTATATTACAGAAGTTATAATGTTCTAAAAATCTAAAATGTAAATGCGTTACATATATAATAAATGTTAATTGATGTCAAAATTAAAACATATAGAAATCATGTACAAAATATGAAAAATGTATGCTTGAAATTCCTAAATAAATGTAATTATTAAATAATGATTCTATACAAACAATTGAATAAGGGAGATCAAAGTAATTCTACTAGAATTGAATTCGTGACCCTTTCTCGTGGCATATTCTTGATCTTATATATCACATTCCTTATGGTATAGCTTATGACCTTTTACCGACGCTAATGACTGATTGACTCAGAATATTGTATTTTTAGAAGAATGATGATTGTAGTGTCGGTTAAAGAGGTCGAAGAATCACGGAGCGTCGAACGACAATTGCGCGAGTACTTTTCACTCGGTTTGAAAGTCAATTTCGAAATTAGGGATATGTGAAGAGCGCCGTGCAAAATCTAATAACAGTTTAGTTTAATAATATTAAGCGAATGTGAAACCTGAGAATAACTAACTCGACGAGCGTATGATTTGTGGTAGTTGAAACACAGCCGGAAAACCAATTGTTAGCCGTTTCGCGACCGAATGATTTTTGCGGCGCGGCAATATTGTTCGTTCCTTGCACGTGCGTAAATTGCAAGCGGCGCATTAAAGCGGGGTAATCAGCTGAATTTAGGACTAAGGAGAGGAAAACCGAGTCCAACGAGGACTCCATTCTGGAATAACAAGGGAGAAGGCGTCTAGTTTCACGCACGGCATACATAATTCTCGGCGGCGTAGAATGATTCTCATGGCGCGACCCAGTTCGCTTCACCGCACGTTATTCTCCGTCACGTCATTGACTGTTGCAAAAAGTGTACATAATAATGTAATGCGCACGAGATTTCGTTGGACAAATGATAGCTGCAATATTGAGAAAGAGAAAAACAATTGTTAGCTTAGCATGCACCCAACGACTTTAATAACAAAGCATTTTGAGTCTCTCATTCTTATTTAGGACTATGTAGTGAAAATTTGGATCACTGGTGATTATTTTGTTTAATTATTTTTAAGCAAAGGTTTCGCTTCCAATACCACAGTTTCTTGATTGTGTAAATAACGTACAGATGGAACAAAACTATTTTCAGTTAGTAATTAGACTAATTAGCATTCTTAAGCACTTTTGCTAGCAATGCTTTCATATTCCAGGCCTTGCCATTCTTGCTGCTGGTGATCTGCACAATCAACGCTTTTTCCATTCACAATGGCCGGGGCGGACCGAACAACGTTAGACGCGTTCGCAGAATCAGCGAGTACCTCGTCCCACCTTCGCCGCCGCCAAGGTCCCATCCATCAAACAGAATCCCAAGATTGGCGAACGATCAATCCAATGAACCAGGATACTTCATGCGATTCATGCAGATGTTGAATCCCTTTTACTCGCCACCGCCACTGCCGTCGCCGCTATCACTTGAATCCGCTCCTCTGCCCGCGGCAACTTATAATAGTCCTTCCGTTTCAATTTATGAGACACCACCTCCGTCCTCCATCAACGGTAATTCGGAATACTCTGCCTCGACTAACACTAAAAATTGTAATCCTTGCAACAAAGAACCTTGGATGCCGTTAAAACAAGATGAACCCGCACGTTTGACATATCCTTCGAATGGCGGATATCCACCTAGAAATCCCGAAGCCCCCTATGACGTTCATTCCGCTGCCTCGCAAGAAATCAGAACTCCGGACTTCTCTTACGCGCCGCCATTGCCCGGACAAGAGAGCATCATCAGCCCGTTGCCAAACCCGCATTTGTATCTCGGAGTAATGCCGCCGCTCTTCAAACCAGAAAATTTCAATAAACCTGAACAAGTCGCTCCCGGATCTACAGTCTCTTTTCCAGATACGACGGGGTCCACTTCCAATGATGGATCTACATATCATTATTACCCAGAAGTTGTCTCTCAAGAACCAGAACATATCAATCCCGATCTACTCCCCAGTAGTAGTCAAGTGACTAAAGGTAATATTAATCCTATATTAGATGAGCAAGGGCTCGAAGGCACTAGTATAGGTTCATTAGATTCCGTAAATCATCTACCGGTCTCCGATGGATCTTCCGGGAAGATTGGAGATACAATATTTATTGAGGAGTCACCGTTGATAGATTTCAGTGATTTCACGCATAAGAATGAAAGTCGGACGCAGTCGTCCTCGATACCATCGACCTCTAACGTGTTCGCAGACTTTGAGAACGTCGAGACAGCCGTGGCATCTGTTGACGAGATTTTCGGACCGCGTCAAGACACTTCAACGGAGTCTCACTCCCATACGACGGATTATTACGACATTTTGGATCCCGTGCCAAATGAATCGAAGATCACTAATAGCACTCCTGAGAAAGAAAATATTCCGCCATCTGATAAGGTAGAGTCTTTATGGAATATTTTTGCGACCCCTTCAACGAGTACAGTTAGAGAACCGATTCGAAACAGCATGTTAAACTCGATGTTGAATCCCGATGATGATATAACGGAAGACATATTGCATGACAACATTAATGTTAATTTGAACTACGGAACGTCCGGGCAGCAAGATCGGAAGAGGAATCCGCAGGTGATGTTTCTCTCGAATAGAAAAATACATCTTTCCGAGAGAAATCACTTACTGTATTTCTGTGATTTAAATGTTTAGGTACAGCTTATCATTCCCTATACGATTCAATACACGCCACTTCCGTTCCAGCCGTCGCACGAAAGAAAGCTTTCTGATATGGGTGAATCTAATCATGATACTTATGACATCGCAGAATCAAAAAACAGACCCAACATAGTTAGACCTCCAAAAGTGTTAGATGATTTTCCTCAACCGACTACTAACCGACAACCAACTACATCACCATACGTATATTACAAAACGAAACAACCAACTAAATCACCGGTATATTACGAAAGGAAACCAGATACTAAAGCGAACAATTCCATAAACTTAGAGAGATTTCAAAAAAATATCGACAATTGGACGATAGAGGTATGTCATGTTTTTTTTAAATAAGTGTGTGCATTTGTAAATAATTTTTTTTGTTTTTTTTTTGGATTACAATGGATTACAATGAATGGAACTTTCAATCCTGTAGGATGCCGATTGGTTGAATAAACTGGTAACTTGCAATATAGAGAAACATTAATTCTACAGATAAATAATATTTTTTTCACTATTTTTTCTAACAAGTAAACATAATGCAATATAAAGTTTTACAACTGGGCAAAGTAATTATATGTATAGATAATATTGTAATTTTTCTTTTTTACAATATATTTTAAAAATCAAATATTACTGACAGATTTAATTCTAAGTTTGTACTACAAAATTATCTCATTAACTTGTTACTAAACGGTAAAGTTTATCAATGTCGAAAATTTTAATGTTGATTGTAGCATATTTATAGCAAATGCGATAATAATAATGATGATTATTTGTATTCAATTTAGAAATTTTCAAAGAGCCCAAACCATTACGTTACGGTACCGGTTCCAAAGGCGATTCCCAAAGAGTACTTTACGACCCCCAAGCCTATTAGTCGTGTAGCTGAACTTTTCAAGGACAATGTTGGGATTTTGGACGGATTCAACTTCAATGATGAAGAACATAAAGAATATAAAGAACGTCCAAAATTAGTTAATCACCGCATGGAAGGACGACAAATACAAGTAATTAATAAAAATTTCAAGGACATATCAATAACAAAAACGAATATCTTATCTCTTTTTCCTATTTTCTATTTAAGATGATACAAGTTCAAAATTCGACCGAAAGCTCCATCAATGCTTCCACCACATCCGAGAAGGATATGTGGCGAGCCTTCCCCGTGGGAGTTTCTTCAGTGAACAAGGAACGCGTCTATATAGTGACACCTCAGCCACAAACTACTCCTAGATCGAATCCCGAGAATAGAAAACAGAAAGCGTTGGAGAACGCAGGTAGCAATACGGAGGAATCGAAGAAAGCATCGCAAACGGACACGAAGGAAACGAACAAGTCTAATACATTCGAGTCGATCGAGAAAGCCTATCAAGTGTTGCCTCAGGCTGTGAACAATTTGGCTGTGGCTTCCACAGGTCCTGAGAGCGGTTCTTTGTGGAACGTATTGCCCGAGGAGATATATAGACATTTCCCGGGACTAGATGCACATCCGAAACCTCCGAACGTTGCATGCTGTACTCAACACTTACAAAAGCACGTATATTATTATTGATTTTGCACTTATAATTAGATTACTTATATAAATAATTCCTGTTTTAATTCACTTTTTATTTCATAAAATTACATTTTTAATTTAATATTCTACAAATTTTAGTTAGAAATTTTCTAATATGTCTTTTAAAACAAAATATAATTTGCAAAAAAAAAAAACATGGCCATACATAATTTCTTCAAAAAATTAGTAAACATAGATATAACAAAAACTTTCAATGATACCCGATATTAAATTTAAAAATATACCTTCTATATAATTATATATATAAGATATAATAAAAATATTTAAAACTTTTTAAATAATGTTTAATATTTTTCTGCTTAATATTTTTGCAGGGGTCACGTGCCAAATGATGACGGATCAAGTGTGGAAAATGCTCAAGACGATTATTTGTGCCCGTGCAGATAATTTTGATAGTGTGTTTCTGTGAACGATGTGAACAATTATATTAAAATAGTAGTCTTTGACCTCATTCTCAAACAAACTTTTTAACTTAATAATCTTTAATACAAACGGTTGAACTGTTTCGATTCTACGTACGTGCGTAAGTGATTATCGTGGCCAGTGCACCGGATAATATGTATTTTATAGTCCGGACGTATGTATTTTATAAGTTTTATAAGTTTTTTTATATACTTTTTTAATAAGTCTAAAAATAAGATGAAAAATTGAAAGAAACTAAAGACAACCTGGCATATGGTTGCATTATATTATCGCATTGTGACTTGCAAATTTAAGTTGTCCTAATAAAATTTGCATTAATAAATATTTTAAATATAAAATATAAATTTTTATACATAAACAAATTAAAGTAATAATTTATCTCAATAATCCGAAAGAATTATACGGTATATTTTGCAGTTCAGTCACATTTAAACTGTTTGAATTAAAATGAGTTATTTTTATAACTATACATGTATATTTATATTTTATATATAAAACACACACACACACACATACATTGCATTTTTTTTTAAATTATATTCCCATGTTGAGAAATTTACTTTTTTATTATTTTGAAGTGAAAATAATTTGCAGAAAATTTCTTACTAACTGTTAGTTTTAAAAGATTGAAATCTGATTTTTTAACGAAAAAGCGTTTTGCTACAAAAAAAATACATTTTAGCTGAAAGCGGACCGATGACAACATATAAGCGTATTGATCAATCAGGTCAGTCCGCGTTACACGAACCGGATTTTAAGTGAACACGCTGTTGTTTCCTGGAGCACTTTCGTCAATTCTGTAAGCCAAATCTAAGCCGGCTTCGAGTCGATGTTCTCAGAGTCTATCGTGCATATTAAGCGCTTTCCAATGGAGTAGCTTTCGTTGTTTCCAGTCTATATTCTGTTTAACGCTAAAAGAATAAATTCTAGCGCGACATAAAAAACAATGAGACATAATGAATAATAGAAAACGGATAGGAAATAATAAATCATGAATAATGGATGACTTAATATTTCGCACATAAAAATAATTAGTATAAGTTTATATTTCTCCAACAAATTAAGAAAATATTTCTAACTCTTGCGAATCATGTCACATATTTTTCCATATACGATGCAATACAATATTCTTGACTATTAATATATTAAATCATACTCACGTGGCGTGATAAATTATTTAATTAAAAAGCATCACACGTCTCTTATTACCTCGACTTTAGAAAACTGCGGGCGTGGTTGTTTCGAAATCCCGTCGCGTTTATACGTCACTTAAAACTCGTCTTTTATGCATTTGCCAACCACGCGTTCGATCACTTTCGCCGATTTCGTAAAGCTGGACGTCCGCCAAGAAGTGTCACGACTATCTGAGTACGGCTGCATCCAAATATACATTCGTACGTGATACGCTTATATGCATATCGCGTAAGTCAGTTTCTTCCAATTGTACGGTGAAACGGGACTTTGTGTCGGGAATTTCGAGCTCGTCCTTTCATTCACATCAAGCAAAATCGTACGAAAAGATAATTCGATCAACGTTTAAAAATATATACGATATTTTATATTGTTAAATTACTATTAAATTACTATTGTATTAAAAATATATTTAAAAAAAACATTCAGTGTTTCTAAGTTTTCCTTCATTTAGATTTTTCCTTGATAAAAAAGAAACGACATTACTTCCGTGCTACAGGCTCGTCACAGGAAAATTAGGTGATATCGTGCGTATATTATAACCATTCGATGTCATGAAAGAGGTGTTACACTTAATGAGCAAGAACTTGATGCGGGAGAAGATGAAATTAACAGCGTCGAATAGATTAACTTGCTTGATGCAACAATATCTACAATTCATTGACCTTCGAACTTCCTTTTCAGGTCTCTTCGGGAAGATCACACGTTGCCTGTCGCGCAGCGAAACGTGAGAACTCCGACCGGAAGATAGTGGGAAAAGATGTTACCATTGTGTCTACAACGGCGGTACGCCGTTGTTTGTCTTAAAGACTTCAGTCGTGTCTGGAGAGGACTAACGCTTTAATTAGATCCATTTCCATGGTAAATGGTATCGAACAAGGACACGACCTTAATTGCGACCGTGCTGATAGGCTGTGCCGCTTGGAGGAAACGCGGAGGAATTTTTAATTCCCTTTCATGATTCGTGAAATCGAAAATTGCCGCATACAATCTTTCTCTTACGTTCGAAGTGTATTTAGGCTGCATATTTACTATTCACGCTTTTACCGTATTTGGAACTTACGTACAATTGGAAATAATTTATTTACAGATACATAATTATATTGAGTTTACTAAGATGTTCCGGATAATTGTGATTTTTGCCGCGCAAGAGATTTCCTTCGAATAAGCATCTCTATTGTCCAAATACATAATGTAATAGCGGTCACGCAGTTGAGTAGGATAATACAGATGGTGTAATTTCCAGTATTATCCCGTAATAAACCTGTAAACAAATCGACTATTTATTATTTAGGTTTCCTTTAACAACATTTAACAAATTATATCTGAAGAACAGTGGTTGTGTATTTAGCCATTTTATATATAATATTATTGTTCACAAACCGAGCATAGGACCAGCGCTCATGAGGAACAGTCCGTTGGTCAGCATCTGAATTCCTGATGCGTTGGGTAACTTTTGAATGGGAACGTAGCTGGGTACGACCAAGACCATATACACCGATCGAATTCCTTTCGCTGCTCCCAAACCGATCGCGACGGCCACCATCGTAGCGTAGCTATTCGCAAATATCAGCGCTGCGCCAAAAAATAATTAATCTATCTAGAGATTAATCTATTGATATATTAAAATTTTAGCTTTTCTTATACATTATCTTGTTTTCATTTGTCAAAACTCAATAATGAAAGATAATCAATATACGTTACAGGTTCTGCTAATTATCAGAAGAAACAAGCTGAGCATGTACATCATCCTGGACGATAGACGCAGCCACTCCCCCAGATAGGGTGCCGCGCCTCTGAGAACGAGATCAACTATCGCGATGATACTCATGACGTTGGCAATTTTTGCCGTTGTCAAACCCATGTCAGCGAGGATAAACGGCGTCAGCATGGAGAAGTTTATCTCGGCGAAAATCGCGATTGACATCCCCAACATAATGTTCACGTAAATCGGGTCGCGCAGAAGATCGAAGTCGTAAAGGTCAGACACTCGTTGTAGAATTCGGTGACAGGCCGAATTATTTTTGCCGCTACAACGTGATTGTTCTATTATTTGTTAATTCAAAAACAGTATCTTAATATATTTTCTTTAAAACTTCTATTATGTAATTATAAATACAGCCATATATTGTAATCGCGCATTTCTGTGATGCAGGTGATAATTTAACGTCAACATTAACAAGATGGGTAAAAATAGATATATGAAATATCTTTTTATTTTATTTATTATTTACTATCATATCATGGATATATTTTCATACCTACCTGCTGTCATTATTTTCGTTGATTGAACATTTATCTGCCTCTTTTTCTAATAGCGAATCCTTTTCCACAACGTTCTGACTTGTACCATTATTTTTGCTTACATCATTATCGACAAATGTCAATTTTTTCGTTATTGGAATAGGCTCGTCAAAAATTTTTATGCTACTACCGAGATGAACACTATCTACGCTTCTTGCTATAAAAAAATACGTATATTATTTTCAACGCATCTAATTACAAATCTGCATTTGTATTCAATATCTGTCGCATTTGTAAAAATTAGTTTCAATCAACACAATCTTCTTGGCATAGTTACATAAATTCCACCATGGATATTTTGGTAAATTCGTTTTTGATGTACCGTTCATCATCAACATTTCGGTGTCGTAATTTGAGTCGTACGATACTGAAATATGAAATTTGTATTCTTAGAATCGCTTTTGTCCCAATCAATTGTTAACTAATTTATTTATTATCAATTTGTAATAACCTACGATTAAGTCGGCTCCTACTGGTTCCGTCTGTAGAAATTTGTCGGGGTAATGGTGTATCGAATCCATAAATGCTTCCAACTTCGACATCGTGATCAATGCTGGATACGGTTAGTCTTCTTTTTCTCTGATAATTTATTGCCGGCATCGAAGAGTGTATACTTTCATCTTCCTCGTAACAATTCAATGTATCTGCAAACAATTCCAAATTGCTGACAAAGAATCAAAATATTGCTACCATGTATATATTTTTTTTACCATGTATATATATATTTTTTTATTTATTAGCAGATACCTTGTTTATCATTAATGTCAGTCAAAGTCTTAGGATTTTCAGGGATTGTCTCTAAGCAAATGGGTGCGTTTTTCATATGCCATTTGATCGGATGTAGCAATAATGCGCCTATCATCGAGTGAAAACTGTAAGCGCCAAGTATCAAGATGGTTCCCTGTTTATAATTATATCTTTTGTACTATATATGTTTGTTTAATAAAATCTATAATATTTTTTGTTTTAGCAGTAATTCATAAGTAGTTGTAACTCTCGACAAATTAATTGGGAATTAAAGAAGTTGGTTTCACTAAACGCCTTATTGATGTTACAGATCGACAATGCATAGAAGATCACATCAGTTCAATGTTAGCTATAGATTGCACAACTAACAATTGCAAATAAACAGACGTTCATCGTCCGACCCACATCGATAAGCAGTTGCCATTGTACTTTACGATCGGCAACATTCGTTGTAAGTGAAGCTGCATCGGAGGAAATGCCTCTTATCAAAATACTTTTAACTATAAATTTATATTATAATCTGTATTTACATAGATTATATTTTTTATATGACCGAATTAATTCTGCAAGTTGCACGATTTTTTCATTTCATACATGTCGAGAATATTAAAAAAACGTTAAATTTCTTCAATACATTGCGTTCTTCATTTAGTTAAACTTATTCTTTTTTACCAAAAAACGTAACTTTTACGATACCTGAATACCATAATATGAAAGTAAGAAAGATGCTATTTGAGGCATAAGAATTGGACCCAGCCCTGTGACAGTCATTCCCATGCCTACAGCTCGTGATCGTTTCGTAGTAAAGTAACTATTAGTCGCCAGAGAGAATGCAGACATCGACATACTTATACCAATAGCTATGTAGACAAACTTAGTAATTAATTTATATAATAATAATCGTTTTAATTTATTTACATAATAATAAATATTTGTTTATAATTGTAATTGAAGTATTTACTTTGAAAGTAAAAAATATAATATTCTCTGTCACAATATAATTGCTATACATATATAAAATATTATTAATAATGACCGACGAACGATTCTGATTTACTTACAGGCTAGCACTCCATAACAAATAATAATAAGAGCAAAGCTGTTGGCAAATGCCGTCAGTATTACACCAACTGCATACATTATACTTCCGGTCAGCGCCACTCTTCTATAACCGTAGATCTTCAAGAGAGGCCCATTGATTAAGCCGAGTATCATACCGAATGCCAAATTTACATTGATTATAACTGACGTGTCTGTTGCAGTCAGATTAAGCGTGGCAAAAGAATCTTTAAATATCAATCCGAATACTTGCAAAATTGGGATAGTTGATAGCTATAAAATTTTTATTCGAATTAATCTCGGTTCTCGAGTGAGAATTTTGATATTTGAACAGATATTGATTTATTTTGACACATTTTTCGGGTTTTGATGTTGATAACTTACGCCACTCAGTGCTCCAGCTAACACAATGATCCATCCCCACCCCCCATTCGGCGGCACTTTCGTAAACATTTTTTAATATAAAGTCAAATTGTATAATAAAATTTAGTATAATATTGATTAATTGTCTAAAAATAATAGAAATATAACTTGCAACAAGAATAAAAATTCACTTTGTAAAATAAAAATTTGCACGGAGTCTTGCTTTCACACTTATTCACGTCCGTTTTTGTGAGCAGTTGTATCAACAATTACTTGAACACAATTGTGAACAGCACACTTTATTCACTAAAACGTCAAAACTTGCAACGTCTCGTGGATTAATCATTCTGTAATAATACTGATTTTATGTAATAATGACTTGCAGTTTCCGATGATGTCAGGTAGTCAATCTTATCTGCATCGATCGATACCGCGATTATTTAAATTCATTGATAATTCCATTCGGAAAAGTACAATTTTTTTTTCATTACAATTAATCTTATTTTATTCGTGATAAATAAATAAGTTCTACACAAGACTCTATTAATACAATATATTATATTATCTTTGATATAAAATTAAGGTTATAGTTAAGTTTCTGATATATATTTTTAATAATAGTAAGAAAAGATTTTTCTCCTATCTCTTCTCTTTTCTCTCTCTCTCTCTCTCTCTCTCTCTCTCTTTCTCTTCCTCTATTAGATTACAAAATATTATGCATGTAAAAATAAGTTGTTACACTTATCTTCCTTTTTGTACATTGACTCACAGATTTAATTGGTCTAACACTAATGAATCAGTAATTATAACACACATAAGCAAATAGCACAAAACTTAGCATATTCTTCTAGTCCGATAATAGTATTGCGTCTCGCGAAATGATAAAGGCTACACTGCCGTTGGACATCACTTTCATGAAAGATAAGAAAGTGCTTAAGCTTACTATTAATCTAATCTGATCACTTTAGTCCATGGATGTTCAATGCATTATCGGAGCACGATTGCTTTGATAATGAGAGAGAACATTGTTAGATGAAGCTAAATAGGAAATACCTTTATAGGAAGGTCATTGCCATAAGATGAGTATTATGTAATGTATACATACTCGTAAATATATATCGTAAATATAATATATATAATTGTAAAGTATAATCCATGGAAATGTAATATACATTTACATTTATTATATTAATTGATTGCTCAATTATCAATTGCTTTATAAATTATTATATATAAAAAAAGTTACATCATATTAATCTTATGTGCGTATTAAAAAGATCTCATATCATGGGAATAATCAATTTTTAATTTTGTATTCTAATCAATGATATTACAATATCATATTAGCACAAAATATTACAATTTGATCCATGGCTTTAGTCTCATTTTCATTACTGCATATTGCATTTTTTAAATTATAGTGATTAAATTACAATTAAAGATTACACAGAATTCTACTCGATTTTGTTGTACCTAATACACATAAAAATAGATAATAGATGCAAAATTTTAACTTCAAATACACTTAGATAGTAATTTAATCCTTATCAGATTGTTATAACAGCATATATTGCAAGACGGGCGAGGAAGAAGCAGGAAGAGGAAGGAAAATAGGAGGAATCGATGATATGTGATTAAGTGATGATTTATATATTCGAATGTGTGCAAATATATGCTCGTATGTGTACATGCTTTCATATCTCTTGTACAAGTGAGTCGCCTTGTTGTTACGCGTATCAACTTCTTCGTTGATAAGCAATTATTAATGCGTGTGTCAAAAAAGGCTCTTATTTAGATTCGAGTAATCTTGGGTTATTAAATACATTTAGGTGAAATAATGTATGCTTGCGCAATATACACATTACGGTAAAAGTGATTAATTGATATTTATATAAAAAAACATTGCTAATTTTATAGAATTATTAGGTACATTAATGACTTTAATGGAAACTTGAAATTAAGTACATTTTTATTGATAATTTCATAAAATTAAAGTGATAATATGCTTCATATATTTACTTTTATGACATCATCGATGAATTAAAATTATTGATACGAGAGAAACTTTAAATTTTTTACATTTATCAATATAATAAATAATTCTATACAATATTGCCAGAGAGATTTCATAGAATTACCACATTCAATTCTCAGTATAAAAGTATATATAACATATCAAAAACTCTATAATCATCAATGTTTCATGCATTCATAGATTGAAAATATTAAATCGCTAAATTACTGATTTACGTATTTTCGTGAGAATTTTCTTGCTCTCCCGATGGATTTCGCTGATTCAATTTTAGAGTATTTCTACCGAGAGCCCATAGTCCACCTATCGACCACAGGAAGACACAGGACAGGCTGAGAAAGGATGTGAAATAAAGCGCACCCACGTAACTATCTGTTGAATCGTGCACCAAACCTAAAAAATATTCAATGTCGATTAAAATAGATAAGATAGAAAATAATGATAAAATAGATTAGATAGATGATAACGATACAGTCCTGTTAAACATTATGGTTATCTGGGTACGATTGAAATTAAATATTCAAGAAAATTACAGGCTGCTTTCATTGTACACTTAGAATTTCTCCTTACCGATAATTGGTCCCACGCTGATAGACAGGATGCCGTTACAAACCATCTGAATACCGGATGCAGCCGGCAGCCTCTCCAATGGTACGTAATCGGGAATGATTAGAGCTTGGAAGACAGCTTTGGTTCCCTTTGCCATTCCGACGATCAGAGCTACTCCGATCACGATGACGTAGGTATCACCCCACGTCGACAAAACTGCCAAGAAATTAACATGAGAATTGATTTTGTACAGAAGTTTACATAAAACATCGGGAACGCGAAGATCAATAAGAGTGTGAATGAATACAAAAAGATATATCGTATAATATTATTAATCAAAATATATCATAGTGTTAAAATACATTACAATATCGAGATGTGTATTGCGATAACATAATTTCAGCCGCGGTTTGATAATTGTCAAATATTACGATCAACGATTTGCGGATGGTATCGATTGTCTTACGATATGCCAGCTAATCAACCCACCCCAAAGATATCACCTCGTGAAGAGATCCCTCGTGTTCGTATACCTTATGTGTGGCGGTACGTACTAGTCCTTCCGAGGATCGATCCCAGCAGGGACATCACATAAAGATTCCTGCATGTCCAGCCGGTTTTTTGCGCCAGCAACGGTACGCAAAGGCGCCCCGTGATGTCCGCGGCGGCTTGAATCGACATCACTGTAGCGATCGACGTTCGGTCGAGATTCGCCAATTCGGCCAGGACGAAAGGTATCGTTGCGTTGAAGTTCGTTTCGGCCACCAACGAGACGCCCATACCTGTTTTTTTTAGGCACGCGTTACATGCATCTCTCAAAATTTTAATTCTATACTACTTCGGCAAGACCTGTGAATTCAGTAGTTCGTAATCTACCTAGAACTATCGCTATATAACGATTATCACGAAGAAGATCGAGATCCATGTTCGTAACAATTTTTCTAAGGCACGAAGTATGTCTACTTTTCATTTCAGTCTCGCTATTCTTTGGCCGATGATTCGGTTGTCTTTCCTCTTCATTGTTCTCGTCACTTAATAACCGGTTTTGAACGGCGTTATTTTCTACATTTGCCTCATTATCAACACGTGAACTTTCCTCTTTCGATATATCGGCAATTTTGTCTACCAGAACAATCTGCTAAAAATGGGAGAAGAGAGAGAGAAAAAGAGAGCCTTCCAAATATAATCTACATTTCGCATATTGTTGATGTGATACAATGAGGTGACTGAAATACATAAAATGAAAAATGGAGAGGATCGGAAATAAGATTGCGCTTTTTCTCACGTACCTTTAACTCACCTCTTTCTGCTTTCCGAACGGTCTTAATAGCGACGCACCAATGAGAGAGTGCGAGGCGATTCCACCAAGGATCAGGAGAGCGCCAGTCGTGGCAAAATTCCCGAGAAGTACGTCTATCAAAAGGGGCATTAAGATCGGGCCCAGACCGGTTAACGTAACCGAAAAACCCATGGCCACGTTGCGTTTCTTGCGGAAGTACGTGTTCAAAGCTAACGTTGTCGCTGGAAAAATGATTCCTTGGCCTATGCCTGTTAAACATAAACTTTTGTAATTAATGTAATTAATTATCATCTTTTTAAGATACAATAGCGTAGTTAATACATAAGAGTCTTAGATCTCTCAATTACAGAGCAATCTTGAAGATCCTCGAGAATGCAATTACATCATTGTCTGTTCTATTAATTGAAATGACTGGAGCTCGGATGAGAGCTACAACGTTGAGCGCCGCTGAGTGTCGAACAAAGAGTGCGTCGCGGCAACCCATGCTCTAAACTATTCTAAAAGTTCTTTCACATTGTGTGCGTGTATTATCACTATGTCTTACTTTTTATCAGTCTACTGTGCTCTAGAGTTCAGTGGCGCTCAGCACAAATGATCAAGCGGCTTGTCATATTACGGCTCTTATTCGGGTATCCTGTAGCGTGAATTATTTACCAATGATAACGCAATAAGTGATAATAAGAGTCGAGAGAGACACAGCGAAGGCAGCGGCGCAGATTCCGAGGACGACGGTCAGGCTGCCGAAATATGCGACCTGACGAAAAGCGAATCTCTTCATCATCGGACCGCTTATCAGGCCGAGGCTGCATGTTATTGTTCCATTAAGATGAAGAATCAGACTTGTTTGCGTCGCAGTGATGCCGAGACTTGCGAAACGTTCCGCGAAAATAAGGCCGAAACATTGCTGGACCGGGAGCACGGCTAGCTGATGAAGGAAATTACAGTTAATCTTACGAGAATATATTGCTCAAATTTTATATTGTTCAAATATTCGCATCTTTTTGAACATTGTTCACGTTTTTACAGAATTCTCCAGATGAGAAGATCATCATTTTAAGTAGATAAAAAATATAAATTTGATAGGTTTCATGAAATGTTCAAATTTTTATTAACATTGGATTTTTATGCCGTATGGAGAATTAAATTGCCCAATTATCATCATAAATACTACAAATATGAACAGAATATATCTTAAAATCTTTGACCTTGAAAGATTTTCGTCAAAAATTTTCAGTCCATTTTTCGTTAGAAGAAACTTCAAATTATATTAAAGAAAAATTTTGATTAGAATTAAAATCGGAGATTAAAACTCACTCATAACAACAGGAATTAATTACTTTAAATTTCTAAAAGCGATTATAATGAAAAAAGACTTACATTGATAACAGTCACGCCGATAACGATCGCCCATGCCCAGCCCCGATCTACTACGCCACGTGACATTCTATCAATCGTATCAATCACCGTTCCGCAAGTGTCTCATGGGAGTAATACGTTCCTAAAGATTTCGTGTATTCCGTGCTCGTACCATCAGCAGACTGCAAATCTAATCGTTCGGACAACGTACGATCACAAATTTAGATCGAGCAAGTGATAAGCTACGCGCTGCGGATAAGGCTCCTCATTTCGACTCGGTTCTTATGCATTATGCATTTGCATATAATTTATACATACGTATGAATCGTATATTTTTTTATATTAGAAGCAGCTGCATCTTCTATTATATATTCACATATTTACACTTTTTGTAATAACCGTATGAACTATCAAATACTTCTTCAATTAATTAATTAATAAAATAGTGATGTTTACTAACAAGAACAAACTTCGTCGCAATTCAGTTCAATTATTTCTATCAATCTTAATTATATCTTATAACGAAAAATAAAGCAATTACCTTGACAAAATTGTAAACGTTATAGGTCCAACTAATAAAACTTTACTGATAAAAGAGTTTCTAGAATAACTCCTAATAGTTTTTGCAAGTTTACTTTGCTTGTAAGTCGACAACTGGATTAACCTTGTCCCGAGTTATTTACGTTTCTTACAGATCCATAATGATTAAAATGAAGTGACGAAAACGAATGCTGGTTTGATCGACCAGTTATTTAAACGGCACAAAAATAATTATCTCAAGTAACAACTTTGTTCCTTTATTTGCTCTTTATCAGCGCTATCTGTATTAATGACTCAGTCGTTCTCCCTTCTTTCCGCGACAACTGCTTACTTTGTAATCAAGTAAAAATGTTTAATCGAGTCGTCAAGCCTCCGCGTTGGCAAACAGTTATCGGAGTACATTATTTAATGTTAAGTACAGTCGGAAAGTTTTTCAACGCCGCAGTATAAATATCACAACGTTAACACTCACGCGTGTCAATTTTGGAAATTCATTGAAATGCCCAACGGGATTTCTTGAGATGCTCCAATATAAATGTTTGGCACATAAAGCCAGGGCAGATATGCTCCGACGCGAGCTGCGGACGATCCGAGACTGGCCGAAGAGGAGGAAGCGCGATGAAAACCGGCTCCGCTACTCCATCCGAGACCAAGCGCGATCGTTCGTAATCTTTTCACTCGCGAGCCTGAATACAGGCGCTCATGCAGCGCTGCGCTCGGGGTATTTAATTTATAGTCACTTTTATGTGATTCAATGCAAATTAATAAACGCGCCTTATCATCTCGCGTAAGTGCAACGACACGAGTGATGACTTATGCTATATCATGTTACATCAGCTGTGATTCTATCGCGCAAATACCTTGCAATTTGATATAAAACGCAGTTTTAAAAGAAGCATAAACAGATGTGCAAATAAATACTCCAATTACATTAGGAGTCAATATTTATCAGACCCGTCCAATTTGATAATCTTTTCCGACAACTGTTTTTTGAAAACAATGATCAGATTTTTTATTTGTACGCAGAATGATAACTGATTTGACAAGGAAGTTTTTTGGATAAACAGACGAGAAATGAGTTTTTTGCACCTGTGAAAATACCAATATAGCGCTGCATCTATAGTAGATAAGATATCAGTACATCGGAAAGATTACAAATTATGAAGTCATTGAGAATTTGATCTGATTTAATGCACAAGGATTATTTTTTTGAGTATCAGGAAAATAATTGCGTTACGACAAAAATTTTAACGCATAACTAATCGTCGTTTTGCAATTGTTAGTTTGTTAATTATATGAGAATTATTAATTGACGAAAAAATTATTTTGAAAAAGAATGATTTATTTGATTAGTATTTGTGACGTACTAAATCGTAAGAATTTGACGCATGTGTTTAATATAAATACATTGGACTTGTTTTACTATATTAAATTTAAAATACTATTCTGCTACAACTTGCTGTTGCAATTTCTTAACAATGATAAGTTGTCTATAAAAGATACCATATAAAAATTCAATGCTCCACACGATAAATGTGGTAAGTATCATGCCGGTCATCACGTGAATACAGATCTTGTAGCTATCACTGACATCTCTGATGTATCCTTTTTCAACAGAAAATAAATATACGAAGGATTAATTTGCATGCTGTTTTATTTTAATACAATGCAAGAAACATTATTGTCTCGTATTGTATAAAAACGTACCAATTAAAGGACTCATGGTGACTACGCATAAGCCCTTAAACACCATAAATATTCCAAATGCACTTGGTAGCCTCTTCAAAGTACAACACTCGGATATACAGAGATTTAAATTCACTAATGTAGCGCCACGCAAAAATCCAGCTATTACAAACATGACAATCAATGGTGTTCTTTCCGATTGTTCCGCTAATACTGTGTAAAAAAAAAAGAATTTTTAATTTCTTTCAATAGCTCTTTTTAAATTCGATTAGAGACTTACTGGAGCGCGTGATCCCAATAAAGAGGCTGGAAATCCAAAAGACTATGCGCTTTTTCCAGCCGAATTTGTCGAATAGCGTCGGCAGCAGAAGTCTAGCGAGGATATCGGTGAACGCAGTCAGGGACAGGCAAAAGGCGACCTCCGCTTTCGTCATTCCTGCCGATCGTCAAGTTCCTACGAGCAGTTTATGTAACTCCCGAGCAGTGCCGTAGCGAGGATGTTTGCTGAGATCGGTGTGTTTATCGATCATCGAGGTCTCCATAATATTGTTCTAAACAGATTTGTATGTATGCGAGGCGCGGACAACTTTTCATGTTTAGAACAGAGAGACGGGAGCTCTTTCAACAGCGAAGTAATAGACATCCTTTGCTACGGTACTGATTACGTTTAAGTTGTACAACTCATATTCTCTCACCGATATCCGAGAGAAAGAAAGGAGTCATCAGTTTGAAGTTTGACTCAGCCACGTAAACGAAGCTGCAGCCTAAAACGACATTTAAGTACGTGAAATTTTTTAGAAGATCCAAGTCAAAAGTTGCTTTTATCTTCGTCATGAACGATTCTTTCTTAGGTGAGATTGATCCATTTTCTGTATCTTGATCCTTGGTCCACATTGATCCATTTGACATTCTTCGTGCTCCAGAAGGATTTGGTTTCATTAATAAAGCTTCGTGCTCTCGGTCTTTATCAGGCTTTTTCTAAAAAAAAATATATATACATTAATAATTTCGTTTAATATAAAAATTCGAGATGTTAAAAATTCTAAGTTATGTGATAATTCGATATTTTGTGGATTATATATAAAATAATTACTTTGACTGGCGGTGGCGATGGTCGTTCTTCAAGTGGACGTAACAAACATGATCCTATCACAGAATGTAATGCCCATCCTCCGACGATGAGCGTTGTGCCGCGAAATCCGTATATGTCCAGCAGCATATGTATTAACTGCATAAATGAATTGCTATTTAAAACATTTCTCTCTCTTTTTTTTTTTTTTTTTTTTACAAATATACCACTTACCAACGGTACGACCATCATTGCCAACGCCGTTCCCGCCATGGAAAAACCCACTGCTTGTCCACGTTTTTTGTCGAAGAACGTATTCAAGGCAATGAAAGAGCAAGCCGTGGCAAGGCCAGTACCTAGACCTGTTGTAGAATAAATTTATATCTATAAGACACTGAAATATTATTTATAATAATACATGTATTTAATATCAGGACAGCAAAATTATATAATTTGTAATAAACAGATTCTATATATATGTATACCTCCTAACACGCTATAGGAACAAATAATATACAGCATACTATCAGCTTGCGATGTAATTATTAAACCACTGCAGCTTAATAAAGATCCAAAAAATGCGATTTGTCGGTAAGAATATCTTTTTAGTAATGGACCGACTAGGAAACCTGTAAATTTATGATTTGATAAGAACAAATAATTTTTTCTTTTAAAGTAACATAAGTATAAGTTTTGTATAATGTTTACCAGAAAAATTGACAATGGCATCTAAGACGCTCATTATAACTGATGTTCCTGTGGAGTCGACATTGAGATCCTCTAATAGATCTTTGAAAAGCAATCCGAATGATGGATCCAAGGATCGCAAAGAGAGCTACAATGTGCGTTGGGATAACAAGTAAAACTTTTTCTAATATTATATATAATAATTATATTATCGCAAATAAAGAAAATGACCTTCCACGCTACTTTGTTTTTACCGTCTTATATTTCTAATATATACGCGTATTTATCAGTAACATCAATAAAACTTGAACATTTAATAGTCAATAATATATTATTCTAGAGATAAAATAATAGGTTTTGTGAAGTAGGAACTTTGAAGAATACAAAGTTCCGCAAAAATAATTTTTTGTATTACCATTTCCATCGGTATAATACCATCTTTTATCACAGTAGCTTTATATTGCGTCATTTTCTTTACAGCATTTTTATTCAGGAATGTAAATTAATAATTCAAGCTATATGTAACAGCGTTCATAATAACTTTGTTAACATTTACCGCAATTAGACTGCTTCCAAGACAAACAAACCAACCCCAGCCACCATCTGGAGCTTGTCCTTTAGTATCATTTTTCTTGTTTTCTGTCATTATTTACAAAAACGATTTTTCATGTGGCTTATAATAAATTATTATTGCTGAAAAATACTACCGAGATGAGTTAAGTTGCTAACGATCTTCTTTAAATCACATCGTCACATGAACTCTTTCTAATCGATACCGATACCGCTCGCTAATAATGCCAATCACGTGCTTGCCCACTACTGTGTGACTTTCAGACTAAGCATCGAATAATATAAGCTGCCTATTGCTCCTCTCCACTTGTTTTTACTCCTACTCCTGTGGAAAAACACATCGGTCAAGAAGGGGATTTAGTACAAATGATCAATACGTGTGCGTAGCGATGTCGATCGAATCGTATACCTACTTCAAAATCTACAAAGCAATAAATAATGTTACATATAATAGGCATATGTTACGTAACAGCAAGGACAAATTATTTTGGCATTTAGCAAATGGAGGGAGTTACATGACATATAAGGCGTAGTCAATCCGTATTTGGCGAACATGACGAAGAAAATAACTACTATGCTGTGTCACATGTCGATGGAAAAGTACACGTAATTTGTCTAGTAAATTTTCTGTCTTTTAATATCGATAAGTTATCTTTAGTTGCAAGTAATACATTATCATTCTCGCTTTTTATCTTTTGATATTATCTGGAATAAAAGATAACATATGCAAAAAATTATAATTGAATATTGTTCGTATATATTAATAATTATAAATAAATTTTATTAAATAAATGATAACGTGACAGCTATACGTAAATTTACATTATTTTACGTTATCGATTAAGTATGTGTTATACTATATAATGTCACAATGTATAATGCCTCTGTAGAAACTATACAAAATTATTACTTGACACATGATACGTAAATAATAAATATAATAAAACTTACCATTAATAATAAAAAAAAATTGATCTTTCTATAAGATGCTTCGAACAACTTATTGTTAGTTAATTTGTGCCGATTCGTACATTATTCACTCCTTACTTCTTTCTTATTAGTCAGCAACACAAATGTTTTTGCAGTTTGTTTGGCGAGCAATTGGAGACGATTGATATAATTAGCCAATAATTGTTAACGCCAGTGTCCACTGTGGTCACATGCGAATCGTTTGCAACACTGGCCGACCTTCGTTGGTTGGACGTTTTATCTGTGCCCACATTGCACATACATATATATAGATAGCACTCACCAGGCGATAGGTTATATATATAAAACGTTACCTATGCTTTTATCAATAAAATTGCTTCAATAATTGCAATAAAGTTTTCACAATATTTCACGATGGAATATACAATGCGATAATTGTGTATTTTACATTGTAATCTTGTCCGATAATAAAATTAATTGCTATGAATTACAATAAAATTGAATCTTTAATATTATATTATATTCAATGTATTTGGTACTCTGTGCTAATACGCCGCAATCGATACTATAAGTAGAATAGATAAGTATGTAGATAAGTACGTAGATAAGTATGTTACTATTACGTTATAACATTCACTGATATAGCGCCTTAATTTATGCAACTGCAAGTTATATGTGCAAACTGGGTAAACGTTGCTTAGGTTCAGTTTACTTATAAAGATAGTTTTTGTTTTTGATAGTTTTTTTGTAACGTTGATTATTTTTTTTATTTTAAAATAAATTACCGTTATATGTACATAGCACTTTGTTAAATATTATTTTGTTGAAACATATAAAATTATTACATGCTTTCGTAAACCAGTAATAGTTAATAAGAACCGAAATTGTAACGTATCACATTACAATATAAATCAAAGTATGTACGCATATTATCTTATTCTTTTTAATGTTATTAATAATTATTAAATGGATTATATTTTACCCTTTATTTTGTCACGATTTTTCTACACACAATCTTCACAAACTTTTCTATAAAATTATTACAATAAAAACATTGGTTATTATATTTTTCTTTTCTAAATATACTAATCTCGTTTTTTTTAATGGAAAAATCGAAGAAAATTTATAATTTATATTACGAATTATTGTTCAACTTTTAAATTTTTGTTAATTTGCATTTTATTACAAAATTGTCATGCTTGAAGTGGTAAATCCATATTAAGATACTCCAATTTATCATCTATTAGATTAGATATAAAGAATGCTAATTAAAGAATCTTCTTTTATAATGAACTGGTTAACTGAATTGGAGCATTTGTAAATCAGAGAGTATATGAGGCAAGTTTACATTTGGATCTTCTCTCTCCGCAATTCCGTACTTACGGATCCTACAGTGCTAATATTTCATTCTGGCCTAAGAATAGGTGTTTAGTATGATGACACTTCGTACAAAGATAAGAGAAACTTCGAAATCTCGTTTGTGGCATGCCCTGCTTAGTCGGAAACCGTCTACCTTCGATTATCGTGGAAGTGTATCGGAATCATTGACGTTTGCATTAAATTTATCTATCAATATTCTGCTAGGTAAATACTTAAATCTTATCTTCAAATTCGGTGCAATGAAAATAGCAAAAATATAATTTTATCTAATTAATCTGGTGTAGAAAATGTGCTGTCTTAAATTAATTACATGTAAATGCTTAACGAAAATACAAATAATTTTATGTAAAACTGTTTCTGTTCAAAAAATTATTGTTTAATTATATTTCATGTCAATAAATTGACTATCATTTGGGGAATTTTTACTTTTGTATTTATTAATGCAAGGAAAAAATCCAATAAAATAAATTAATATTAAAAAAAATAACTTTTTGTGTTTTCTATGGATAAATGAATTACCTCTGTCAGACGTTATTGCAGAAACTGAATGTAAAACATCACTTTTTATTATTTTAATGTCTACTGTTTTTAATAATAATTAAAGTAGAATATATTTATATGTAAATACTATTTTCGTATTGGCATATATTTATCTTTTATTAAATACTTTTTCTATAATTCTTTCTTATTTTGTGAAAAAACGTGACGCTATTTAATGTGTTCAAATAAATCAGAGACGCGATTTATCGTAATATGACGGTGACAGAAGTCAACGGTACGACGATAAATGCGCCCAATTTGAACAACGCTGTCGAAAGTGAAAAGAAGAATGCAACTGCAAAGATAGAAGAACTGATTAATGAAGAGGATGAAATTACTCTGGAAGATTTGGCGCCAGATGGTGGCTGGGGATGGATGATTGCATTGGCAATGATATTAATTCTCGTTAGTAATAATAATAATGCATAATAAATGATAAAATAGTGCTCAAAGCTATTGAAACAGCTATATCACTCTTAATATAATAATATTTACTTAAAAATTATTTCGAAATTTTTCCCAATACAAACATGAGCGAGTTTGTATGTAGATATAGGTATTATGATGTGTAATTAACAACTTCTTTCCTGCTGTTTTAGTTTACCACGATAGGCCCAGGATCGTGTTTTGCTATAATCTTTGGCGATTTTCTTGAAGATTCCGGCCAGGCAGGCATGGCATCGAGTCTCTTCAATTCCGTCTTTATGATCAATTATTCTATTGCCAGTAAGCGCGCATGTGACATGTGTTTAATAATCAAAATTGAAGAAAAAAAATAGTGATACACTAAATTATATTTGCACAGTTATCAATTGAAGATTTCTATACAAATTTATTAGTAACAATTTGTAAATAGTGTGTTTGCAAAGACATATGTAATCTTCGCACTTTTTTTCCTCGGTATGAAACTTTTCTCGGAAGAAGAAATTTGCATTTGCATCCACATGATAAGAAGATTAAGTGACGTCCCCAAAGCGTAATTTTTCTGCTCTTATCGACGTTGTCAGTTAAGCCATCAGCTTCTTGCTGTAAATTTGCAGCTTCTGTCGTTGACATTTTGCACGAAGGATTAAAATCGAATAACGTGTGTACTGAAGTTTCGATCCGGCACATATTTGCGACGTATGCAATCCTAATACGTTTCCGATACATGAAAGTCTCACGGCGCATTATTCGAATCTAACTATAATCGAATTCTTGTTTACGAAAAAACGTACGCTACATTTCGTTATCACATATTCTTGGAACATATCACAATTATCAGATTAGAGCATTATTTCTAGTGAAAAAAATGCGCTTTTACTGTCACTCGAGTGCGAAGATAATAAATTTTACTATGAATTAAATAACGATCCTCGAATAAGAAATTAAATAGAATTTTATATTTATCTTTTGTTATCGTTACATAATAAATAATATTTTTAATTTAATTTAAATACGCACAATTTTATTTATAATATTTAATATTACTATTATAAAATATCGTAATGTAATAATATTTAAAAATAATATATTTTGCAAAACACAGATGTTTGTAACTGAAAGATAATTAACAGATAGTAAAATATAAATAATAGACAACAGATCTTATTATAAAAATGATTTAAACACAAAGTTTTTAGTATTTGAAAGATTACATTCGTTAAACAGTATTTTATTCTAACTAATAACATAATTTTTTTTTTCCACTTATGCATTGAACACAAAGAAATATTTCTTGTGCAGGTTTGCTCACCAATACACTGTTGAAGAGATATTCTACAAGACCGGTTGGAACTGTGGGTGCACTCTTCTTCGCGTTATCTAACATCGCCCTGGTCTTCGTTAGAAATATATATGACATGGCTTTTATTTATTTTCTACAAGGTTTTGGATTGGGCTTGATTATGACAATTACTAATACGGTTTTCAACTCGTACTTCGTGAAGAAAAGAGCGAAAGTAAAGCAATTATGGCTAATGCTCAGGTCTGTTTAAAAACGCTGAATTCTCAGTTTATTAAAAAAAATTTTCTCTTTCTTATTTAGGTGATGTACGCGTCGCAAGTCATTGTTGCGTTAGGCGGAATTGTTTATCCTATGTTGTGCGAAAGGATGTTGGCGTTGTACGGTTTTCGCGGTAAGTGTCGCAAAGGCAAAGTTCCAGATATTTACAACTTATTTTTGTTTGTCGTTTGTGTTATAGGTACTGCGGCAATCATAGGTGCTCTAAGCCTTAATAGCGTCGTTGGAATGACAATGATGCATCCCGTGGAATGGCACGCTAAAAATCCGGCAGAGGTTCGTGCTGAAAGAGCGCGCGAAAAGGAACAAAAAGTCTTTCAAGAATTGGCACTATCGAATCGTCGTTCAACTATCCACGTGATCCACTCATCTTCCAAGACTAAATGGAGCAGTCTTCGTAGTCTCAAGGAAGAAAGGGGCACAAATACACCATTGCTGAATGAAGTTTTTAAGGTGACATGAAATTCGATGATAAGATTATCTCATTTCTTTGTCAATTAAATTAAAATTTTTTTCCATTTAATTATATTTGTCCGTTCATATTTACATTGATTTTGTTTAGCCTTCTGCACAAAGAGTTGCGTCAGTCTCAGCAATTGAGAGCGGAATGCGTTGGAGAGCGAAATCAGGATCTATATGGGAAAGTTTATCGAGGCGTACATCGGCTATCTCGGCCTCTAGCTTAGTTAATTTGGCGACTCGCACGACTTATGTACTAAGCGACATACGGCTTCATCTAGAAAAGAAGTATAGTGAAAGACGAACAGATAAAGAAACGCAGGAGAAGGAAGAGAAACAAAAAAAGGAAATCCAGGAAAAGGAAGAGAAAGAAAATAAAGAAATTCAGGAGGAGGAAGAGAAACAAGAAAAGGAAACTCAGGAGAAGGAAGAGAAACAAGATAAGGAAATCCAAGAGAAAGAAGAAAAACAAGACATTGAAAAAGAACAAAAGGCAATAAAGTAAGTATACAATTCAGTTATTTGTGTAATTGAATTATATAATTTATGGTTAATATATCTTAAGCCTGTAGAACTTTGATAGTCCTGCTATTATATATTTAATAATATCATAATATATAATTCTATATCTTCATATAATTTACGCTCCGATTTATTTTGTCAATACCAAAGGTATAAAATCATTCTGAGAGATCTAGTGGATATGTCTCTGGTGAAGAATATCTGTTTCATAAATTTGTGCTTCGGCGTCAGTTTCGTGTGTACTGCCGACTTTGGTTTCTCTTCTCTACTTCCTCTTATGATGACCGATGCGGGATACCCGAAAGCCTATGCCGCACTGAGCGTCACAATCAGTGGAATAGCCGAGCTGGCGTCAAAAATTTTACTGTCAATTTTTACACTAATAATAAACGTAAAATCAAAGTATATATTCTTTATCGCCACAATCTTGATGGGATTCGCAAGAATAGGTGAGTACAATCAATTTTATAATTGAATAAATAAATTATCGCAAATTTTTAGTTTCTGAAATGTCTAATAAAAATCACGATATGTATAGGATTCCTGCTATATGAGGGTACAATAAAAGGCGCGTTAATTACAATAATGTTAATTGGAGCCGTGCGATCGTGGCTGCTGGTCCCGCAGCCTCTGGTTATCATAGAAGATCTCCAAATAGAAAAATTTGCCTCGGCTTACGGCCTCAACGCTGCCATCTGCACTTTAGTCACGATAATTTTCGGCGCCATCGTAGGTAAGTTGAGAAAGACCGTATTAAGTTTTGATTCGTAATACATATAACTACATATGTATATATTGTTGCAGGAATTATTAAGGATTGGACTGGTAGTTACAAAATGTATCAAATTTCTTTACTAGTGTTAAATAGTGTTTTTATTTTACCTTGGGCTTTGCAATTCATCTTTGTAGACTTCAGAAAATGGCGAAAGCAACGCGCGCAAGAAACTAACACAAAATCTATCGACTATCGATGGGAATGAAGAGATGTAGAACATCTCGAGAATTAGTGACTATTACTGATCCACTTATCAAATTGCATTCTTGCTCCTTCTTTATTAAAATGTTTAGTATTCTTAGTTATTCTCGGTGTACATACATGGAGCAAGTTAATTTTTATGTATGTAAAATAGCTATCTGCTGGTTATAATATAGAAAATTTTATATTTTATAATAAATATTGAATTTTTTTGTACATACAAATAAATAAATTTGATTTAAATTCTTATACAAAAAACACAAATTGTTTACATTTTTTTTACAGAAAATTATTGAACTCATGAATATAAAATATATTAATGAGTTTATGTAAGTAAGATCGAACAACATCATTTTTGTTAAGTGTTTTATTTGCTCAAAATTATACATTAGTAGATTAATCTTAATTAGTAATTTTATTACCAATTATTAACTTTTAATTATTAACTTTTAATAATTGATAAAATAATTGAAAATTTAATATAAACTTAGTAATATAAACTTATATCTTATATATGAGTTGTAAAATATAGCCTTGAAGATATTTTTGGTACATTAAATACAATGTATTGATTTTCTTCTTCGTCTAAAATATTGTATTACTTTAGAAAAATTAAATAGCTTTTTAGAGAAATTTTAGATAAATTATTAGAGAAATATATTTACTCAAACAAGATTAATAAATAAAAAATAAAATTCTTACTAAAGTACATCCATATATATATTTATATTTGATTAGATTATTATAGTTTGCGCGGATAATGGGATTGTTAATTCCCGGTTATTCATCTTTACGCGATGCTGGTTTACGCGGCTCGACTTTGATCTTGAATCCATCATGTCTTTTCAAAATAATATCAGCTCGCAGTTGGAAATCTTTGTCGGGCGTATCAGAAACAATACGATAATTCCTCAGTATCGTCGATAACAAAACTTTCAGTTTCAACATAGCATATTTCCGTCCCACGCAAGACCTTTGAAAAATGTATATTGTAACAATATTCGCGAGAAATGTCTTCTTCAACCTCATAGTTTAAAAAAATCCCAAAAGATAATAGAAAAAAATTATTACTAAAAAAATATTATTAATTATTAAATACCTCGGTCCAGCACTGAAAGGAATGTAAGCATAATAATGTCTTTGTTGCATTCTTTCCGGTAAAAAGTTGTCTGGATCAAAAACTGTTGGATTTGGATAATATTTCTCCAACCGATGCGTCATAAATTGTACGACCAGTACCGTGGCAGACTTCGGAAGAACATAATTGCCCGTAACTGTTAATATAAAACATATTAAATGTATTTTTTTTAATTTATAAATGAGTTCTTTTAAATATGTACTATAACGCGATTAATATTATTGTTATAGTAATGCATTTAATTAGATAATTTACCTATTTTCACATCTTCGTTAAGATGCCTGGCAATCAAAGGTACCGGTGGGAAAAGTCTCAAAGTTTCCATAATAACTCTCTCGAGATATTTCATCTCTAAAGTATCTTGGAAAGTGCATTGTCTGTCGCTATCACCAAAAATCGTATCCAATTCTTCGTGCACACGAGCCTGCACGATGAAAATCATTAAATTATAAAGAAAAGGAAAGAGTTAAATTATTACGATTGTTATATCGAAATCAAGCAATATATCGACTTTTCTCAAGAACAGAGATTGATGAAAATCGTAAAATGCAATATCGTTGAATTACTTATGGAGTTACTATTTTAATTTCAATTTAATTTAAATATAAATGTAATTAGCGAGAGAAACAAATAAATAACCCGATAGGATGGGTGACGCGATCAATGGTAAGAAATTATTTATGAAGTTGTGCGCTTCATGTCATACCACGGAAAAGGGTGGAAAACATAAGATAGGTCCTAACCTGCATGACATCATGGGCAAAACTTGCGGAAGTAGGTGTACTAATGCCCCAATGTCTTATATATATATATATATATATAGACAATATCAATATAGGAAAATAATTTAATCAAAAATAAATTCAGAAAAAAATTGTTTTAACAGTTATTTAATAGTTATATAATAATATTTATGCGTAAATATGTATATAATGCTATATATTGAATAATAGTATGACAATTTGTATGTAACTATTAATTTTTTCTAGCTATTCCGGGATTTAATTTCACGGAAACTCTGAAGGAAAAAGCTATTGTATGGGATGAGAAGACTTTAAACGACTACCTCGAAATTCCCAAAAAATTTATCCCGGGAACAAAAATGGCATTCTACGGTGTCAAGAAGGCCGAAGATCGAAGAGATTTGATCGCTTTCTTAGCTACTTTGAAATAACCGCGTTTTAATAAACAGTATGTAGCAATTTTGCTGCACAAATGCAACATAACCATGGGGTTATGTTATTAATTATGTAATTATTGTAATCAATCATCGAAAATAGTAATAATGAATATACCTGAACATCTGGATGATTTCCTAAGACACAAAGTGCAAAACTCGAGCCAGCCGCCGTGGTATCATGACCCTGTAATAAATCAATGAATTTCTTTTTGATGTATAAAATAATAACGTAATTTATTATAGCAATACAGTTTGCGATGCACAAGGTATTTTGTAGAAGAAAAAGTTAAAAAAAGTTTAAATTATAAAGTTCATGTACACGTTCTCAAAGATTTATGATAAAATTACATTTATTCTCAAAAAGAAATTGTCATACTTCAAACATGATGGTGTTCACTTCCTCCCAGATCTCCTCGTCAGTCATTTGCCCATTCTTCTTCAGTTCGAACATCATTTCTAGAAAAGCCTGTCGCTTTTTCTCACCTACGTCGTTCTCATCAATATCATCGAGGTCATCTCTTACGTAATGCATATAATTAGCGGGTCTATTATTAGCATTTTTCGTATTTTCGGTCACATTCAAATTTTCCATTGGTTGATCGTTTTGCACTTCTTTTACTTGTTGATCTTTCACAAGTTTTTCTTCGACATCCTTTGCTTTCTCTTTGATCACATGTTCTGTCAATGTATGAACAATATTGAGCAGTTTCTCCTGAACTTTGGCAAGCTTCGAATATTTGAAAAACATGTCCAATCGTAGTGATATATCATAATGTCTTCGGTGTATAATATCGCTCAATCTACAATATTCATATTATAGTGAGTGCGTTTTCTATATGATAAGTAAATAATAAAAAAAAATGCTACGTGTAATTTTAAGAAGAAAAAAAAATATATACTTCATTACTGCCATGGCATATTCAAATCCGGTTTTCTGTCTTCTTTCCTTCCTAACTCCCATCGCTGTTTCCGTTAAAATATCAACCGTTACGGCTGAC